AGAGCACCACCTGTGTACATTCACTCTGTTCCCATTTATTTATTTACTTATTTTTGGTTTTCGAGACAGGGTTTCTCTGTATTGCTTTGGAGCCTGTCCTGGAACTACCTCTGTAGATCATGCTGGACTCGAACTCACAGTGATTCACCTGCCTCAGCCTCCCGAGTACTGGGACTAAAGACATGCTCTATCAATGCCTAGCCTCGGTTCCCTTTTAAAAGGGCCCTGCCCACCTCCCATCCTCTCTTTCTTTCTCTCCCTCTCTCTTCTACCACTCTTGTCCCCAGGGACCAGTCTCTGTCCCCCTCTTTGTCCCTTTTTCTGCTCCTCCTCTCTCCTCTTCCAATAAACCTCCCATATGAGTCCTGTTGCATGGTGTGATTTCTCTTCACAGCATTTTTTTTTATTATAACAGTTTCCTGTGGTGCACTATTCACATATAGGTATGAAAAAAACACACACACACACACACACACTGATATGGATCTGGAGAGATGGCTCAGCAGTTAAGAGCACTGGCTGCTCTTCCAGAGAACCTGAGTTCAATTCCCAGCATCCATATGGCAGTTCAGCTGTCTTCAACTCCAGTTCCAATGGATCTGATACCCTCATACAGGCCAAACACCAATGCACATAAAATTTAAAATAAGAGAGAACACTGATAATAGTTGATAAGCTTAACTGCAAAGGCCATGTGTTCTTAACCAAGCATGGGGTACTTGTTTTTAACTCTGTTTGAGAGTCTCTTAGAAAAGGGAGTATTTTAGGAATGATTTTTCTTCTTCTTCTTTTTTTTCCCCAAGACAGGTTTCTCTGTGTAGCTTTGGCTGTCCTGAAACTTGCTGTGTAGACCAGGCTGACCTCGAACTCACAGAGATCCACTTGCTTCTGCCTTCCAAATGCTGTGATTAAAGCATGTGCCACCACCATCATCCAGCAGAAATGATTTTTCTAAATAAAAAAAAAGTGCTTGTTTATAATTTGCATTTACAAATTAAATATCTCTCAGCCTGTACCTAAGTTAGTAAGTAATGTGCTTCCAGACAGAGTCTGCTTACATACTGTTATAAATTAACTGACCTTCAAGAAAACCGTTGCGGGGCAGTGGTGGTGCAAGTCTTTAATCCCAGCACTCGGGAGGCAGAGGCAGGTGGATCTCTGAGTTTGAGGCCAGTTTGGTCGACAAAGTGAGTTCCAGGACAGCCAGGACTGTTTCACAAAGAAACCCTGTCTGAAAAACAATACAAATGAAATCAATCTTGTTATGCTTTGGAGTTGTGAAAGCATAGATTTGCTTTTACCATGTTCTTCTTACCAAGTTACCATGACTTGTACATGCACTTCACTCAGATAATGTATATGTGTGAATAAGATGTGGTAACTTATTCTCCAGGCATTGAAAGTAATGTTCACCCACAAAATTTGTTAAAAACATAGTTGATTGTGTCTTTGTGTGATGTTCTGAATTAACAGAATCAGAAAAATTTTCCTATTATGAAACTCCTGTAAAAGATTGACTAAGACAAAAGTACCTCATTCCCTCAACAATACAGCTGCCTAAACAAGACCTGAGAAAATATAACACCAGGGGAAATCTAATGGGGCCCCACCCCTAGACAAAGAATCTAAAGACAACTAAGGAATGCTGAGATTGGGATATGCGTCTCCTAGTTGTTTAACCGATACCAAGTGGTCAGCCCTGAAACCATATATGCCTATAACACTAAATAGACTCAGTAGGTTTACATATATATTTAAGCAACTGTGTGTGTGTGTGTGTGTGTGTGTGTGTGTGTGTGTGTGTGTGTATGTATGTACAAGAGGCCTGGTGGGAGAAAGGAAAAGGAGGGGAAATGATATGATTATATTTTAATTTTAAAAGCTCTTAGGAAGTAGGCCTAGGCAAATTTCTGTAAATTCATCGCCAACCTGGTCTACAAAACAAGTTCCAGGACAGGACAGCCAGGGCAGCTACACAGAGAAATCCTGTTTAAAAATAAATAAATAAATAAATAAATAAATAAATATTTAAATTCCCTCATTCCTTTTCCACACTCTATTTGTTGTTCAGTTCAACAGAAAGTGACATTTGTTCGAGAGATCAGAACTCTTTAAAAGAACCTGGGCTCATTCTTGAGTAATCAGCACCAGGTTTTCCTTTATGTGGTACTGCTTCCTCAAATATTATCTTAGTAGGCAATTTTGACTCTTTTAGTTGTTATTTATTTACTTATTTATTTATTTTGATTTTTGAGAGAGGGTCTCCTGTAGCCCAGGTTGGCTTAAAACTTTATATGTAAGGGCTGGAGAGATGGCGTAGCCAGTTGAGAGTCAGTTGAGAGTTGTTCTTCCAGAGGACCCAGGTTCAATTCCCAGCCATCACATGGCAATCACAACTGTCTGTAACTCAAGTTCCAAAGGATCAGCCACAATCACACCAGTGCACATAAAATAAACTTAAAAAAAAAAACTTTATATGTAGACCAGGTTGGCCTTCAATTTGTGGTGATCCTCTGACCTCTGCCTTGTGACTATGGGATTTTAGGCTTGCCCCACCATACCAGGTCTAATAGTGTTTGTTTGATCTTACTTGAGCTGGCAGAAAACAAACTAGACTCTGAGATGTGCTGGCTAGTTTTATGTCAACTTTACACATGCTAGAGTCATTTGAAAGGAGGAGAGAAAATACCTCCATAAGATCAGACTGTAGGTGGGGCTGGAGAGAAGGCTCAGTGGTTAAGAACACCAGCTGTTATTCCAGAGGTCCTGAGTTCAATTCCCAGCAACCACATGATGGCTTACAACCCTCTGTAATAGGATCTGGTGCCCTCTTCTGGCCTGAATGGATAAATGCAGACAGAACACACTACATACATAATAAATAAATAAATCTTTAAAAAAAAAAAAAGAAAAAAAAAAAGATCAGACTGTAGGCAAGTTTGTAGAGACAGGGTTTCTCTGTATTGCTTTGGAGCCTGTCCTGGAACTGGCTCTGTAGACCAGCTGGCCTAGAACTCACAGAGTGTTGGGATTAAAGGCATGTGCCACCACCTCCCTCACTTTATTTTCACTTTATTTTTTTGAGACAGAGTCTCTCATGGAACATGGAGCTTACCGATTTGGCCAGACTCTCTGTTCAGCAAGCCCGGGATTCCTCCTGTCTGCCTCCTGATTGATTTCATAGGTCTAGCCCAGATGTCTTTTTTTTTTTTTAAGATTTTACTTTTTAATTCAATTGTGTGTCTGTGTCTCTGTGGGGTACTTACACCTGTCTCTGGGCTGGGTTTGCAGGTGATTCTAAGCACCGGAGGCAGGTGGTAGGAACTGAACTAGGGTTCCCTGCCAGAGCAGTATTCACTCCTAACTACGGAGATAACTTTCTAGTCCCAGCACTTGGCTTGCCACTTGGGCACTAGAGACCTCAACTTAGTTTCTCATATTTTCATGGCAAGCACTTTGAACCATATACTCAGACCTGTGGCATTTTAATGTGCTTTCAAATTTTCCTAATTACTTTTCCCATGAGAAACAGTCAAGCACTACATAACATCATTTGGCCAAGGACTGATTTCATATAGGGTGGTCCCATATTACACTGGGTACTGATGTCATTGCCAGAGTAGTTCTTGTAAGTAATACATGTAATGCAATGACGTGGCAGAACAAACCTAACACATTTCTCAGAACACATCACTACCAGTGAGAGACAAGTCACTACGCCTGGCTTTTTCCCATTTTTCACTTGGGCTGAAGATGATATTGAAGTAGCAAAAGAAACAACCCTTCACATTTAAAGTCGGGGTGGCATTAATCGTGATTCATGGAAGATCAAGCTAGAGGATTACTGCAAGTTCAAGGGCAGTTTGACTTATACAGGGAGTTACAGATCAGCTACCTCTACACTGCCAGACTTTGGCTCAAAAGACTTTCAGGGGCAGGCTAGGTAATTTTACTTTTTTTTTAAAGCGTCTGTGTGCATGCCACATGTGTTCTTGGGCTCGCAGGTGGTCCCCTAGAGCTGGAGTTCGAGGAGGCTTTGAATCACCTGGTGTGGGTCCTGAGTCTTCTCTCCAAGGGGCTTACTCCTTTTATGCATTTGTAAGGATCGGGGACATAGTTAAGTGATGCTTATCTACCAGGCACAAGGCTGAGTTCAATCTCTAGTCTACAAACAAAACACCTACATATTTCTTCTTTGCATACACTCTCCCTTCTAGAATTGGGTTGGGAAGTTTTCCTGGAAAATACGCCCTTAGGCGTGGGCGTCCGGGTTCTCCAGCCAGGGACCAAGGGGGAGACACTGGTCCAGTCATGATGCAACTCAGCATCCTTCCGACCTGAGGCGTTTCCTTCCTAGACCCTGCGCCATCCGAGTGGGACGTGACTAAACTCTGGGCAGCTGTCTGGAGGGCGCGGCAGACCCGGGGGACTGCAAAGTGTGGGAGGGCCTCGGAGGCGGACCCGCAGAGACCAGGGGGGTGAGAACCGAGGCTCAGGCTCCAGGATGAGCGGCAGGCCGGAAAACCAGAGGATCTTCCTGTGGGCTCGGCCCGCAACGCGCCCCGTGTTCCACGTCCCCGGGTAGCTCACTCGGCACGCGCCAACTTTTCTCAGCCCAGATTCCAAGGACCAAGAGGAAGGGAAGGAACACAGACCACGACACCAGGCCAGCAGCGGGCAGCCTAGGGGGACCCAAGGCGCACGCAGCCACGCCCAGCGCCGCTCAGCGGGACGGAGGCGGGGCCGGTGAGTTGGCTCGAGCTGATTTGCCCGTCTCCGAAGGGGGCGTGGTCACACGTTTCGGGCCCAGCCCCTTCTGCCACCCTGGGTCCTGAAGGAAATAGAGGCCTGTCCCAGGGCCTGGCGCGGAGGGAGGCGGGGCAGAGCGGGGCGGTGGCTAGGTCCAGAGTCCCCGGAGGCCTGGCTGCGGGGGAATGAAGCCTCCGCCTTTCCCGGCAGAAGTATTTAAATACGGCCGCGGGCCCCGGTTTCGGGCAGCGGCTGGCGGATCGGTGAGTAGAGCTTGCGGCTTGCGAGTAAGGCGCTGTCCGACCCAACGGGACCCGAGCGGCAGCCGTGCTCCGGCCTTGAAAGTGGGTAAGCACGGTTCCCCGCGGGATGCCCCCTTCTCTCGGCCGGGGTGTGCGCGCGGTCCGGGGCTCGCAGCGGGGCTGCACACCTCACCATCCTGGTACCCCCTTTTTCGGGTCCGGCGGGGATCACGTCGTGTGCTTGCAGGAGGTCGGGCGAGCAGGGCTTTTGATTTGCAACTCGTGTGTCTTCAAACCGGTTCACATTTTCAGATTTGAAACGAATGTGATTTTCCCGCCGCTTTGGATCCCACTCCCCACCTCCCTAAGCAAGGGGTCCTCTTCGCAGGGCTTAATGGGCTGATCATAGTCCTAGGGCTTTGTTGGGGATTAGAGTCTGCTAACCTGGGGGTCCTCTGCCCTAAGAGGAGAAAGCAACGCCCCCTGAAGACGAAGCCCTAAGGAATTTATCCTAATATCTTGGGGGGCTTCTGCAGTCTATTGTTGGCTGAGTCATAAGCTTGGACATTCTACTTAATATTAGGGGAAGCCTTTCTTGGGAGCTTCAGAGACTGTTTTTCGTGAGATCTTGAACATCTTCACGTCCTACATGTAAGATAAATTGAGTAGGGTTGGGAAATCTGGTATAGAGAAAGGAGGGGCTCCCTGGGGGAGAGCTCATACGTGGGATACACAGAGACTAACTGTTCATCCACTCACCTCAAAGGCCAGTCTGAGTTTTTCAAATCCCCTAAGAAATGGAGAACAGTAGTCTGGTGTGTTTCTTCTGAGAGGTTCAGGACTTGAAAGAGCTGAGTGTTTCGATTCTGAGATGTTTTTGCGTACTTGGCTTCTAGTCTTAGCTGAATGCTACACACCCTGGTTTGGAAAAGACCTCATTTCTTCCCCTCCCCCCTTTTCATCTCTGTACTGCTTTCTCTGTTATAAAATCTCTAACCACTAGGCATGCTCCATCTTTCCCCATATTTCCACAGCTTTGTATCATACCTATTAGACATAAATTTAAGTCTTTCACAATAGTTTTTTTTTTTTTCTTGGATCAGGCGTGTTTTAAGTGTGTGTCCAGGATGAGTGAGGTTGGTGTATCCAGCTGTCTATCATGCCTGCTGTTTAGTTCCTCAGTAGCTGTGAAGAGGGGTGGCAGATGGATTATATTCTGTTCAGATTGCAGCATAGGACTGCTGTTAGTGCCATCTTGTAGGTTGAAATGTATATCTGAATTTATGAGATTTTACATGGACATTAGGTTCCAGTTGTCGTGGTATATTGTGATTCCCAAAACACAGAGGTGAGAACTCATTTCAGAACGACCTGTTTAGTAAGCAATCAGGCCCACTTTTCTGTCAGCACCATGAGGGCCAGAGGGTGAATACAAGTAGAAATAGAAAATGGTGAGATAAGCCTGCCAGTGAAAACATTTGTGTGATAGCCTTTAGTTAGATCCCCAGAACTCACAGAGAAAGGGAAGCCTAGACCCCCAAAAGTTGTCCTTTGACTTCACACATGTGCCATGGCCTGCATACTACATACACAAATTATGAAAAGTGAAGCCAGAATCAGGAAACATCTATATGGTAGAAACTGTATTGATAACATTGTATCCAGTTCCATATTAAAGTTTATTGAGGGTTTCATTGACACTTCCTAGTGACTTTATTTGACTTGCATTGGTTGTGCATCCATCAACCATTGTGATGTATACACTGTACTTCATACCCAAAATGAAGACTAGCTCATCAAGTAGCTGAATGTATTGGCTCATGCCTATAATCACAGTTCCCAGGAGGCTGAGGCAGAGGGATCACCACCAGTTCCAGGGCAGCCTAGGCTGCAGATTGAAACCTTATTAAGAGAGAGAGGTGGTTGTATGTGAGGAGAAGGGAGAGGAGGGGGGAGAGAGCACACACATGCGCACACACACACACACACACACACACACACACAAGCTTATCCACTTTTATAGTACAGATGCACCTGCCATCAGTAACTGCTACCTGGAAAGAAACCTGAATTATGGTCTTGAAATAAAAGCAGATAAGAAGTAACTTGAGGACCAGGGGGTGTAACACAGGAGTGGAATGTTTACCTGAGATGCTTGAGACCCTGGATTTAATCCCCAGCACTATAAAAAAAACCAAACAAGTAATATTAGAGGTAAGTGGGGGAGAATATAATGATATTCTTTAGGTCAGTAAAGAAGGTAGCAATCTGATTGTTCACTGCTATACCTTCAACACTTAGTATCTTAGTATGGTAATCCCTCCGTGTGTCTCAAAACAGTGAAAGTAATACCTAGCCAGGCTGTGGAGGCACACACCTTTAATCTCAGCCCTCAGGAAGCAGAGGCAGGTAGATCTCTGTGAATTCAAGCCAGCCAGGTCTACAGATAAGTTGCAGGACAGTCAAGGCTATACAGAGAAATCTTGTTTCCATAAAAACAAAAGCAAAGAAGGTAATAACTAATATAATGTAAATAGTTTTGCCTTATTGTTTAGAAGGAAAAAAATCTATACATGTTCAGTAGAGAACCAATTTTTTTTTTTTGGTAGTGGTGGTGGCGGTAGGGTGTCATGGTGTCACTGTGACTAGCCTAGAACTTGCAATGTAGACCAGGGTGGCTTTAAGCTTGTTTCTGCTTCCCTAGTGCTAGGATTAAATATTATGCCATTACACCTACACACACACACACACACACACACACACACACCACAGTTGCCTAGTTCTGTGGGTATAGACTCCCTGGGGGTAGAGGATGTACTTGTATCTGAAATTTGGGCCATTCTCCTTCCTTCCCTCCCTACCTCCTTCCTCTTCATTTCTTTTTTTGGATAGGATTTCTCTGTAGTCTTAGCTATCCTGGAACTCACTCTGTAGACCAGGCTAGCCTTGAACTCACAGAGCCTCTGCCTCTGGAGTACTGGGATTAAAAATGTGAGCCACCACTGCCTGGCTTTTCACCTAATATTTATTTATTATTATTATTGGGGGTCAGAGGGCAGCATTCAGGAGCCAGTTCCTTCTTCCACGTTTATGTGGGTCCCAGGGACTGAACTCAGGCTATCAGACTTGTGTGGCGAGCCCTTTACACTCTGAACCATCTCATGGGCTCCTCTTCATCCTTCGTCTCCCTTGGACTTGGACACTCATTTTGCCTTCTAGCTGATTATCTTTTTATCATGTGGTTGTTTTACTTGGGTGTGATTTCTTTCTTTTCCTCCTTTTAAATCACCATGAGTCATCATACTTTCCAGAGAGCCCTTCTCTGTCCCTTACCCCACAGACAGTTCCTTGCTCTTTCTCCTATTTGGGTGTTCCATTGTAGGGCACTTACAAAGGCCATGGTTCTGCTTCTGTGCTCCTTACTATACTGTAGCTGTGCGAGGGCAGGGACTGAGCTGTCTTGCTTACTCTTGTATCCATAGCACACTGAACAATGGTAGCTGTTACATAGAGGATGTTTAATAAATGTCTTTGGTTAAACTATTCCACGGCCAAGTTCTCCCATTTCTTCCTGTTGGAAGCATTACTTTTTTTGTGATGGGGAAAGGACTAGGCCCTGGAACAGCTGATGCCTACCAGATGCCCAAGTTTCCCTTTTGTAGAGGTGGGACAGCTATAGTGACAGTTGACAACGTCTTCCCACAGGTGAGAGATTTTCAGAAGATTCCTTCGAGCTTAGTCACCTAGTATTCCCAACATCATCTTTCCCATCCACTTAGGGTAGGGGAAGCAAGATGGGTGAGGCAAGGAAAGATAGGTGACTGCCAGAAGTCAGCTTGGGTACTCCTGGTATTTTTACCAAGGCAAGTCTTGCAGTCCTAAAAGTTTAGGAAGAATGTTTTATTTCTGTAGCTGCAAAGGTGCTAATAGAGACTTTTAACTCACTTACTTGTGCTCTTGAGGGATCAGTTTTAATATTTCCTGTGAGTCCATATAGAAGAATGCATCATAACAGTTAAAGAGGTGAGGTAGGGGAAGAATGGATGTGACTTTAGAATACAGTAAGTTAAAAAAAAAAAAAAAAGCCAAGTGTAGTGACTGTCTGTATATATGGTATTTCTTCAGTTGGAAAATAAGATTATGCCAGGTATGATGGGTGCACACCTTTAATCTCAGCACTTGGGAGGCAGATATCTCTGAATTTGAGGCCAGCCTGATCTGCATAGCATATTTCAGGACAGCCAGAGCTGCATAATAGAGAAACCCTTTTCCAAACAACCATAAGACATGCACACATACATGAATGCAGTTGGGCAAATTAACCCTGGGAGTATACACAAGAAACAAAGGAGCTGCTGGCAGAAATAGTCAGTAGGGATGGCGGAGTAATGAGGCTTCTTGAGATATTTTTTCTTGTAACATTTGACCTTGGCACTGACAGGATGACTCGGCTGGTAAAGGTTCTTGCCACCATGCCTGAGGACCCGAGTTCAATCCCTGGGATCCACATGATGGAAGGAGAGAACTGGTGTCTTCTCTTCGTCCTGCTCCCCAACTCCCACCCCTACCCCAATTTACTTTTATGGTATAACATTAAGAATGCTTTCTTAGTAGAGTTATAAAATTTCAAGGCTTGCCTGTTTGGGGAACTAAAACTGTGGTTTTAATTTTTGCAATGCTAAGAATCAGACTCAGTAGCTCACCTTATGCATACTGGGCAAACAGCCGTCCACTGAACCACAGATACACTCTTGCCAAGCACTGACTGGTCTAACCCAGAGTGCCTTCTCTGATTTTTGCAGGAGTCCACAACAAACTGCTAAGCTGTCTGACTACTATTTTCCTTCTTCCTGGGTTGCATGAATGGGTTGGATTTGTGATGTCTGAGACCCTGGCAGAAACTGGAGTGACTGGTCATTTTGACAGTAATTATAATGAATAACCAGACATTCATATATATGAGCCAGTCCCTTGTAAAGTTTTAGTGTCATTCATTTCACCCAATGACTATTGAAACATACTAAGATCAGTGCAGCAGTATTGATAGCTACAGAAGTGACTTTACAGCTGGTCAGTGGTGGTGCACGCCTTTAGTCCCAGCACTTGGGAGGCAAGAGGCAGGCGGATCTCTGGAAGTTTGAGACCAGCCTGGTCTACAAGAGCTAGTTCCAGGACAGCCTCAAAGCCACAGTGAAACTCTGTCTCAAAAACAAACAAACAAAAAGGGCCTTTGTCTGGCTGGGAAGATTACAGAACAGTAAAGGGCTTGTTGGGTGAGCCTGAGACCCTGAGTTCAGATCCCCACCCCCCCCACCCCAGTAAAAGCTATTGTAGCCACACATACCTGTTATCCCAGAGATGGTATGGTGAGGGATTGCTGGCTAGCTAGCCCAGCTAGACAACAGCAAACTCCCTGTTCACTGAGATCCTGCTTCAGAAGAATAGTTAAAGAGCAGTAGAGTAGCATGATGTGGGCCTCAGGTCTGTACATGGCCCACACATGGGTGTTGCATACCAGCACACATATAGGCACATACACATTTGGAAATTACTTTCCTTTATTGTTTTTATAATTTCTAATTAAAGTTGAATTAGAGTTTCAAGATTATTGTCTAACATTTAAAATAATCTGCTCATGCCAAGTTAAGTATTTGAGGGGTAATTTGTTCTATTTTCAGCTGTTAGAACAATGCCTGAGGTGGATGGTATATAATGAACAGGAATTTCTTGACCCAGGGTACTAGAGGTTGGCAAAACCAAGATGGAGGGGCTGACATCTGGCACCAGGCTGTTTTGCTGTGTCATTCCCTGGCGGAAGAACAAAAGATATGAGCTCAAACCTGTAGCATTAAATCCTTTTATAATAAGCATTAATCCATGCTGAGGGTAGAGCTCTCATGTCCTAAAGGCCTCCTCTTATGCCCCACCTACCAGCTCTTTTGCATTGAGAATTAAGTTTACCAAACACTTCTAGAGGGATATTTTTAAGCCAAGCAGGAGATAATCTTAGATGTCAGGTCTGAATCATGGCAATAAACTTACCATCTAAACCTGTTGGAAAACTCACCTTTGTATGCTCACATATAAGTGAGAATACACAGGTGTATAAATTTACTCCAAGGCTTTCTCTTTGCACCCAAAGCTATCCTGGTTCAGGGGAGAGGCTTGGTTTTGCTTCTTGACTTTCTATCAGGACGTTATAATTTTATGGTATGTGTGGTAATATCAGTTGTTATAAATTTTCTCCCCTTTTCGTGCTAGCACAGTCATCTAGTTGGAATATTATTTTTCTCTCACAGTTTTCATAATTCCTATGAGTAAACGTAAGAAATTGTTCCAGATGTCTGACACAGTTTTGTGATGAAGATGCTAGTGATTTGTCCATATTTTCTGTTTCCAATACTAAAACATTTTTGATTGTTTCCCTTCCAGTTCAGTCATGGTTGAAATTAAGAAGATCTGTTGCATTGGTGCGGGCTACGTTGGTGGGCCCACATGCAGTGTCATTGCTCATATGTGCCCTGAAATCAGGGTGACAGTTGTTGATGTCAATGAATCAAGAATCAATGCATGGAATTCACCAACCCTTCCTATCTATGAGGTAAATTATATGTTAAACAGCTTTGTTTCTATACTTGTTGTTTTCTTATTGTGTTGGTTAACTATTTTATATATAGATACTATTATTGTGATTATCTATGGCTGCAACCAGTTCAATGAAAAAAGTCTGGCTGGGCATGTTGGTAACACCCATGATCTCAGCTCTCTGGAGGACTGAATGAAGTTCATGTTCTGCCTGGTCTACATAGCTGGCTTAAGGCCAAGCAGGACAACACAGAGAAACCCTGCCTCAAAACAAAGCAAAGGTTCTGGATAGCGCTTGAATGTAGCTTATCCTAGCTTAACTAGCTGACATAAAGCCCTGGGTTCCAGATACTAAGGAAAAAAGAAAGAAAAACTAAGTGTGGTAGTGCATGCCTATAATCCCAGTACTTTAGAGGCTAAGGGAAGAAGATTACTGAACTACATAGTGAGACCCAAGCTCAACTGGGCTAGATAGTGAGCAAAAAGCCCAAAGTGTGAAACAAAAGTTCCAGGTAAAAAAATGTTCTGGGCCTTTGAGCTGGAAGTGTAGCACATGGTCAGCATGTGTCAGGCCCTGAAATTCCTCTCCAGTGCTACAAAAGAGAAAAAGAAGAAATTAAGGATAGTAAAGTACAATTATGTCAGAAATATAAAATATAAAAGAGAAGTATGCCAAGGCTGGTCTGTTTTGCTCAGTCAGTTCTTGCTCAGTGCATAGCCCTGTGCTTTTTCCTAGAAGGGGCATGGTGGCGCACTCAAGACTTGGAGTCAGAAGGAACAGAAGCTCCTCAATAGTTTGGGACACATGAGTCCCTGTCTTAAAAAATAGTGGACTGCTGTATGTGGTGGAACATCCTTTAGCTCTGACACTCAGGAGACAGAGGCAAGCTGATCTCTATGAATTTGAGGTCAGCTTGATCTACATAGCAAGTCCCAGGACAGCCAGAGTACATAAAGAGACCCTGTCTCATAAAAACTCCCAAAACACAAAAAAATTAGTAGAGGCCTGGTGTGGTGGTACATACCTTTAATCTTATGCTTAGGAGACAGAGGATGGCTGATCCCTGAATTCCAGGAGACCCTGCCTGCAAACAAACAAACAAAAAAAAACAAAAACAAAAACAAACAGATGCATGCTTTATGTTACATATAGGACTAATAACTTTTTGTATATAATTATGGGGCATAGTAGGATATTTCATGTACAGTGCTTAAAGATCTTGTCAGAATAATTAATCTTATCACCTTAGAACACTTATCATTTATTTATAATAAGAGAATTTTCGGGGCTGGAGTGATGGCTCAGCGGTTGAGAGCTGCTCTTCCAGAGTACTCAGGTTCAATTCTCAGCACCCACATGGCAGCTCACACTTGTCTGTAATTCCAGTTCCAGGACTTCTGACACCCTCACACAAACGTGCATGAAGGTAAAACATCAATGAATATAAAAACTTTAAAAAGAGAGAATTTTCTACAAACTATTTTGAAATAATATGATAAACAGCTATCAGCCAGTGACCCTGCTGTGTCTAGAATGTTAGAAGTCATTCTCCCATCCAGCTGGACTTAGGAACCCATTTCCCACCCTATCACTATCCCTCTTCCCCACCTCTGGTAATTGATCACAGTTTTACTCTCTGTGATCAGCTCTTCTGGCTGCCTCATCATTGAGGACACATGGTATTTGTCTTTCTCTGCCAGATGAACTTCATGTAACAGAAGACTGATCAACCTGCTCCCTGCAAAACCCCACCTCTATAACTTTATCTGCCATTTTCTTGAGCCCAATCAGAATAGCCAAAGAAGTCTGTCCTGGTGCAGTGCTTAGTGACACCACACTTGTTTTAGTGGTTTATATATTTTGCTGGTTCTGGTTACGTTTTAATAACTAATAGGAATGTGAGTTTACAGTTATACCTCCAGTAGCTTACAAAAGGCCTCAGGGCCAAGGAGAGATGAAGGCTCAGCTGAGAATGGCATTTGCTATCAAATCTGATGACCTGAGTTTGATCCGAGAACCCCTGTAGTTGTCCTCTGACCTCCGTACGCCCACCATGGCAAGCACATACTATGGCACACCTGCATATACACACACATAAAATGAGTGAATGTAAAAAAAATAATTTAAAATTAATGAGGAATAAAACTTACATGAATGAGTGTTTTATATGCATGTCTGTCTGTGCACTCCATACATGCTTGGAGCACTTGCGATCCGAAGAGGGGCTTGGATCCCCTACAACTGTCATGGATGGTGGTGGGTGCTGGAACTCAAACTCTGGTCCTCTGCAAGAGCAACCCATGCTCTAAACTGCTGGGCCACCTCTCCAGCCCCCTCTATAAATTCCTCAAGAATAAGCAAACAAATGCAAAAATAACAGGAAATGGGTCTCTGTGGGCCCATCACTGTTTGATAGTTGTGGAGATGGCCAGTTTTCTCCCTTCTCCCACCATCCTCATTATTTATGATTTCATCTGTTATAGTTGCATTATGTGCGATGGTTTTTTTTTTTTTTTTTTTTTTTTTTTTTTTTTTAGGCATGAACACCACTCATTACTAAAAATAAAAATCTTACTATGAAGAGCTCTTGGGACTGGGAGTGTTAGTCTAATGAGAGAATAGACACTTAGCATGTTCTAGTCTTAGGATCAGTCACCACCACCAAAACAAACAAACAAACAAATCTTATGCATGTAAGTTAGTTTAAATCAGAGACCAAGTAAGATTCCCATTTTGCAGTAGAATGGTATCACTTAAGTGTTAAGTATTTTGTTTATTTCTCTTGATACAAGATCTCACTGGATAAACTCAAGTCCTTTCGTCAGCCTCCTGGGTGCTAGAGCACAGGTGTGCACACTACACTCAGTTTTTTATTTTCTTGCTCATTTATTTTTAGTTTTAATTTTTAATTTAGTTTTTATCTTATGTGCATTGTTGTTTTGCCATGAGTGTCAGATTTCCTGGAACTGCAATTACAGATGGTTGTGAGCAGTCATGTGGGTGCTGGGAATTGAACCCAGGTCCTCTGAAGTACTTTTTCACTGAGCCATCTCTCCAGCTCCTATTTTTTTTTGTTTGTTTTGAGATAGGGTTTCTTTGTGTGGCCCTGTATCTGTAGACCAGGCTGGCCTAGAACTCAGAGAGATCTGCCTGCCTCTGCCTCCCGAGTGCTGGGACTAAAGGTGTGTGCCAGCGCCGTCTTACATCCTCCCTTGCTTTGTTATGGTTTTTGTTTTTTCCCCTTCTTTTTAGTTAGAGAAACTGGTTTGTTGTGGAGCTTTTTCAGAGTAGATTCTCCTGGTTGACTCCTGAGCTCCCTTGAGCATTTAGAACATTCCCTGCATCCTTTATTTCCTATAAACTGGTAGTTGATGATCTGAGTGTGACTGCAGACTAACACAGCAGAAAGGAGGACTGACACCCAAGGTTGTCCTCTGCCCTCCACATGTACTCCATGACACACACCTCCACACCCACAACTCTACCCAAAATAAATGTAGTTTTTTAAAAAGTTGAATGAATACTTTTTGAGTGGCAGTGTTCCTTTAAAATTTTTTTTAACATAAATATATCCCCAGTAAAATTGTATGGGAGAAAGTAGTAAAGATTTTCAGTATTTCTTATAGTAGGACTTAGAAAAACACATACTATTGTCTCTTTGAATAAAGTAAATACTGGCTTTTACAACCACCTCTATGGTGTGACTCATGGAGGGAGGGAATAGGGGTGGTGGGAACACTGGACTGACACAATTGCATTCATAATGACAATGCACAAAATTTGCTTGCAATCACAGGGCCTTGAAGGATGTGATAATTGAGTTGATGTGGGGAGTTAATGGTTAACATATCACCGGTTATATGGTAAACAATGACGAAGCATGTAAGAGCTGCTGATCTTTCATTGTGCAAGTTTAACTTTGCTTCATTTGGTGATAGCGTCCTTACTGTGTTTTGTGTGTGATCCCCCCTTTTTCTGGTTTTCACAGGACCTCCCAATGTGGCCTGACCTGACCTCAAATTCACAGTGTAGCTCGGCTGTGCCTCACACTCAGTTCTCCTGCTTTAGCCTTCCAAGGGTCAGGACTACAGGTGTGCACTGCCATGCCCAGTGATCAGCTATTCTAAAAGATAATACTTGGAAATCTAGACCTTTAAATTGCAGCACAACCTTCCCCTTACAAAGGTGATTCTGTTGCTTTTTGTCTCAGGACTGGATAATACTATGTGTTAACTCCTTTTCCTTTTTCCCTTCTCTAGCCTGGATTAAAAGAAGTGGTAGAATCCTGTCGAGGGAAAAATCTGTTTTTTTCTACAAATATTGATGATGCCATCAGAGAAGCTGATCTAGTATTTATTTCTGTAAGTAGTTTGCTTGCCATGTGATTTTTTTTTTTTTCCATTCCTGCTCGTGAAAGCTTCTTTGTTTGATTTGGTATTAAGCCATAAGTGCTTTTAACTGCTGAGTCATCTCTCCCACCCTATAATTTCTTTTTAAAGACAATAATAGGGGCTAAAGAGGTAGCTTGGTGGTCAAGAGCACTGGCTGTTCTTCCAAAGGATCTGAGTTCAATTCCCAGCACCCACATGGCAGCTTACAAATGTTTGTAACTCCAGTTTCAGGATCCAATACCCTTTTCTGACCACTATGGGCAGCTTATGTACATACACGTAGACAAAATACACATAACATAAATTTTTTAAAAAGATCATGGTAATATATTGCATGTGACAGATAGGCACTCCTTTAGACTAAGGATCTCTGAATTCATTCATTTTGTCTCCTGGCCGTAGCTTGGAACCTCAAATCTGGCCCATGTAAGGCCAGAGAGTTCTCTGGATGTTTCCAGTTCTTTCTTTCAGTGGCCCTATTTGTGAAGTGTGTTGAGTTCTGTAGAGTTAAGACCGTGCCCACTGCTGATCAGCTAACTGATTGTCTGGGCACTATCTTGAAAGCACTGCCTAGTCTTCTCAGGCACTGTGTTTGTTCTTCTTCATCCTGAATGCTCTCACTAGGTGAACACACCAACAAAAACATACGGGATGGGGAAAGGCCGGGCAGCAGATCTGAAGTATATTGAAGCTTGTGCTCGACGCATTGTGCAAAACTCAAATGGGTACAAAATCGTGACCGAGAAAAGCACAGTCCCTGTGCGGGCCGCAGAGAGCATCCGCCGTATATTCGATGCCAACACAAAGCCCAACTTGAATTTGCAGGTATGAAGATCCATAAAGAAAACATTAGCATCTGATGCTTCTTAGGTCCAGACTGATGCCTTAAAGTTACTCACAGTTCTTCTAGCCTAACTTTCTTTTGTATTGATCTTCTAGGTACTGTCCAACCCTGAGTTCTTGGCAGAGGGGACAGCTATCAAGGACCTAAAGAACCCAGACAGAGTCCTGATTGGAGGGGATGAAACCCCAGAGGGCCAGAAGGCTGTGCGGGCGCTCTGTGCTGTGTATGAGCACTGGGTTCCCAAGGAAAAGATCCTTACCACCAACACTTGGTCCTCAGAGCTTTCCAAACTGGTTAGTGCAAAGCTTGTGACTCTTGGTTAAATCTGTGACTGTGTTTAGACAGTGTATGCAATGTTACTCAGGTCAGTGTGAAACTCAAATCCTGCCTCAGCTTCCCGACTGTAGGGATCACCACACACATACTCTCTCTCTCTCTCTCTCACACACACACACACACATTCACACATACACACACACACTGCAATACTTATTTTGCTTTATTTTTTTTTCAGTGCTGGAGATTAAACCTGAGGCCTCATCTGTTAGTCAAATTCTCTGCTTAATCTTTTTAAATTGTCTTTTCTAATCATTAGTGTTCCACTGTCTCTTCAAAATGAATCCATCAATATCTCTTATGCCTGCTTAGTAATTTGCATCCCTTAGTGGAACACACTGACATATAAGATGGCTTTTGTACTCACTGTCTTCCCTTCTCTTTATGTAAAGGCAGCAAATGCTTTTCTTGCCCAGAGGATCAGCAGCATTAACTCCATCAGTGCTCTGTGTGAAGCCACAGGCGCTGATGTGGAAGAAGTGGCAATGGCTATTGGGATGGACCAAAGAATTGGAAACAAGTTCCTAAAAGCCAGCGTTGGTAAATCAATTTTTTCTTTACCTATAATAGGTAACTGAAGCTTCTGACTTTATAGATGATTTTTGTTTGTTTGTAATTTAATATCCTAAAAAAAAAAAAAAAAAAAAAGATTCTAGTGATTAAATGCACTAGCTGCTCTTGCAGAAGACCAGAGTTCAATTCCCAGCAGCCACATGGTGACTCAGCCATGTGTCACTCGAGTTCCAGAATCCTAAGCTCTTACATGCATGCATGCAGACAAAACATTCATACACATAAAATAAATGTTAAAATATCTCAGGTCTGTGAGATGCCTCAGTGAGTAAGAGCACCTGTCCCCATTCTGATGACTTGAGTTTGAACTCACATGGTAAAAGGAGAAAATAGCCTCCCTGAAGTTGTCCTTTGACCTCCAACTAAGGGCTGACTTCCACACAGTACCTTCCCATTAGGTTATAAAGATTAAGTGAAGTTGGATATGCTTATCCTTGCCCTTAGGAAGGAGAGGCAAGAGGGTCAGGACTTTGAGGCTTGCCTCTGTTACCTAAGTTGCCCAGGCTGCCTTTGAACTTGTTGTGAGCCAGACAGGCTATGAGTGGCCAGGCCACAGCATACTTGCCCAATCTGTGAATCCTACTTTACACCATAGCTATAGTCAATTCTCATTATTTATGGTAGTTACACTGTATTAGCACTAAAAGTACTTTATAGAACACAACTTAGTGAAACCCTGTCTCATAAGAAAAAATACATAAATGGAGTTAGGACATGGCTTAGTGTGCTTGCCTAGTATGCACAAGGCCTGGTATTTCTGATGCTCAGTGTCACTTCCTAGTATTATTTTCCCTGCCCTTTTTTGATGTTTTGTCTAACTATAATAGTAATAGCTACTATTTACTAAGACATATTATGTCATGTTCTTTAATGGTGCTTTATCTCCTTTAATTTTTTTTTTCTTTGAAGACAGAGTTTCATACGGCCCAGGATGGCTTTAAACTTGCTGTATAGTCAAGATTGGCCTTGAACTCCTCCTCCTATACCTCCCACAGATGTTTGAAACTACATTTGACATTTCCACTGTTTATGACCTAATAAGAAGGTGCTGTGGTTTTGTTTTTAGAGAGCATTCAGATTCAAGGAAAGTTTTGTACCTTGCTCAGAATCATGCAATGCTGAGGCCAGATGTTTAAGACACTCAAGTCCTTACCTCGCTACTGCAGCCTGAATTGTGCTAGCTCAAGGATGAGGTACCACTCCTTGGCCCAAACCCAGCCCACAGCTTGCTCTAAATAGTGTTATGGGAAGATGATCACACCACACCACAGCCTGTCTCTTGTCTTTAGCTACTATATATGACATTGTAGTGGCAGAGGTTAACAGTTGTGGCAGATTTTATGGTCCACACAGACTGAAATATTTACCATCTGGCCCTTTCCCTTAAAAGTTTACTAACTCTGTGTTAAAGTAGGAGATATAGGCAATCATACCAAATAAGTCCAGAAGAAATAGAAGATAAATATAAAGGAAAGGTGAAATGGGGGCTGGAGAAATGTCTCAGAGTTAAGAATATTTGTCCTTGTGGATGACCCGTGTTTTGTTTCCAGCACTCACACAGTGGTGACTCTAATCCATCCATCCCTCTTCTAACCTCTGAGGATAGTGTACATACATACATGCAGGCAAAACACTCACACATAAAAAAATACTTTTCTAAAAGGAAAAAAGTCAAATGTAGCTTTAATGAAACGTGTTGGGGAACTATGTAGTAAGTACTTGAGCTGATAAGTATCTTGTGATTTATAAATCTGCTTTTCCTATTTTTTTCATCTTGATACCTGGTTTCATCTAGCTCAGATTGGACTTTGACTCACCATGTGCTGCAAAATTTCTCTGCTATCTGAATTTTATAAAAGCCACCAATGTTGTATAAGTTTTGCCACAGGATTTAGTGTTTTGTTTTTTCTTTTTCTTTTTCTTTTTTTTTTATTTCTTAAGGTTTTGGTGGGAGCTGCTTCCAAAAAGATGTTCTGAATTTGGTGTATCTCTGCGAGGCTCTGAATCTGCCGGAAGTAGCTCGTTACTGGCAGCAGGTGTGTACTCTGTAGTCTCATTAAACATGGCTCCCTTAGTCAAATGGTTTTGACAGAACTTGTTCCAGGAACTCAGGTTTAGTTAATGAGTATCTCTTTTCAATTAGTCTTTTTTCCTGGTCAACTGTGATAGGCATCCATACTTCCTATTTTATAGCTAAGTTTGCTCCCAGAATAAGTCAGGAAGTAATAATATCTTTTATGTTTGGGAGTCTATGTTTGAGACTGTCTCATGTAAAGAGGCTGGTCTTGAACTTGTTATGTAGCTGAGAATGACCTTGAACACCTACTCCCTCTGCCTCTTCCTGAATGTTAGAATTACAGGCATGCACCATCATAAGAGACAGGGTCTCACTGTGTAGTCCAGGCTAGCCTGGAACTTGGTGAGAAGCACCCACGTGATACTGTTTTTAAGTGGTTTGCGTCTATGGGTACTTTTCTTCCCCTTTCAGTTTCACAGAGCTAAAACGGGAACCCCTTCCTAGCTTATCAAATGCTTGTTTATTCTGGGTACTCTTTGGGAGCACTTCGCATGCAGATTATCATTTTGTTCTCATCTCTAACATTATCCCCTGTTTTTAGATGAGAGAAGATACTTTGAGAAATGACATAATTTGCTTAAGGTACTGGCCAGGAAGTGTACCATTCCCAAATGGTTTCCTGAGTCCATAATCTTTCAGATTTCAACAAGAGCTATGGGAATGAGTCTGTAGAGATGGCTCACTTTCTGTGTAGTTCACTCAACCTAGCAGGTGGCTTTATCTTGCCAGTCATTATGCACAAATTGCAGATGAAGTCCTGATTTTCCAATACTTTGGGCTCCTTTTCAAGCTTGTATAGCACTTGTGGTGTCTGTTCCTAGCCATTTTCTTCTCTTGGTGAGCTTGGTGAATGGTGAGTTGTAGCATTTGAGGGAGTGCTTGGAGAGCTGATTTCTTACCACTTTGTTCCCTCTGGGTAGTTAAAGAAGCTGGCTATGGGGGGTGCCTTATTTAGCCTATTTTTGTTGTTGTTGTTGTTTTTATTTTTTTCTGACACAGGGTTTCTCTGTATTGCTTTGGAACTGTCCTGGAACTAGCTCGGTAGACCAGGCTGGCCTTGAACTCAGAGATCCACCTGCCTCTGCCTCCCGAGTGCTGGGCCGCCAATGCTTGGCTTAGCCTAGTTTTGTGGCTGGATCTCAGATGCCTTCAGTATTCAAGCCTAGCTGTGTTCCTGCCTTTTCATCCATCCAAGCTTCACTCAAGGCAGACCAAGCCAAATGAAAATGAACATTTTCAGAAAGGCTCTAAGGAGGGGAAATTGGTGGATTTTATCTATTTTATCTATTCATATTTGGGTTTTTGAGACTGGGTTTCTCTGTACAGTCCTGGCTGTCTTGGAACTCACTATGTAGACCAGGCTGGCCTTGAACTCAGAAATCTGCTTGCCTCTGCAAGCTGAGAAAAGCATGTGCCACCACATTTGGCAATTGGTAGATTTTTAATTTTCAGATTTAAGTCTAAGTAACAGTGATGAGTAAGTTTTGCCATTAACATATAAGCCATAGATTTGTACAGTAACATTTACTATAAAACCATGTGTATATCCTAGACTACAGTTTTGTAAGCTAACATCATATATTATGCATATAATTTCAGGTCATAGACATGAATGACTATCAGAGGAGGAGGTTTGCTTCGAGGATCATAGACAGTCTATTTAACACAGTGACTGATAAGAAGATCGCTATCTTGGGGTTTGCATTCAAAAAGGACACTGGTGATACCAGGTATTCCTTTTTTTTTTTTTTTTTTTTTAAATTTGTTTACTTATGTGCATTGGTGTTTTGCCTGCATGTATGTCTGTGTGATGGTGTCAGATCCTCTGGAGCTGGAGGTACCGAATGTTGTAGTTTTTTGAGTTGCCATGTGGGTGCTGGAAATTGAACCCCAGTCTTCTGGAAGAGCAGCCAGTGTTCCTAACAGCTCCAACCTCAGGTATCAGTTCTTTAAATCGTGAAAAAAAGATGGTTTTGTTTTGTTTTTTTAATTTTACCTATGCTTGGTGACTCGTGGTATTATCTCAGGAGGCACAGACAGTCAGAGCTCTGTGAGTTGGAGGCCAGCCTGGCCTATATAGCAAGTACCAGGCCAGCCATGGTTACATAGTGGAAGGAGAGAACTGACCCCTGCAAGTTGTCCTCTGACCTCTACCTGGACACCATAGTGTGCACATGCGCGCGCGCACACACACATTAAAAAATAAAGTAAAAACTAACACTTAAAACCCTTTGAGAGAGTATGGGAACTTTTCATCTTATCCTGAACTTTAATTGGTAGAAAAGAAGTACATGAGTGTGTATATGTGTGTTTTCTATAGTATTTCATTCTCTGTCATATAAAGATGCCAGAAGAGGGCTGTCAACATGGTGTCACACTAAGCAGAGGAGGACCTATGTATCTCCTCATGTGTGTTAGTGTGTGTGTCTTTGTTAGCCCAACATTGTGGTTTAATCTCAGCATTAGAGAGGTAGAGGTAGGTGGATCTCTGTAAGTTTAAGGCCAGGAGGCCGGGCATTGGTGGGGCACACCTTTAGTCCCAGCACTCGAGAGACAGAGGCAGGTGAATCTCTGTAAGTTCGAGGCCAGCCTGGATTATAGAGTGGAGTTCCAGGACAGGCTCCAAAAACAGGCAAACAAACAAAAAAAAATGTTTAAGGCCAGACTGGTCTACAAAGTGAGATCCAGGACAGCTAGAGCTACACAGAAAAGAAAAATAGTATCTATATCCTCAACAATTAAGTTTAGAACTTACCCATATCTTAAATTTCTTGATATTAGAATACGTCATTTATCTGGGTGGTAGTGGTGACACATGCCTTTAATCCCAGCACTCTGGAAGCAGAAGCAGGTAGATCTCTAAATTCAAGGCCAGCCTGGTCTACAAAGGGAGTTTCAGGACAGCCAGGGGTACACAGAGAAACGCTGTTTGGAAAAACAAAACAAACAAAAAAGCCTGTATCATTTAAAGTGGCACTGATGTGTTTGTCCTTCAGAGAGTCCTCCAGTATCTACATTAGCAAATACCTGATGGACGAAGGTGCACACCTCCATATATATGACCCCAAAGTGCCCATGGAACAGATAATCATGGATCTTTCTCATCCAGGGGTTTCAGCAGATGACCAAGGTAGGATTATGTTCCATAAACCATTCTGGATACAACTCACACACTGTTTTTTTTTTTTTCTTTGAAATCTTTGGTGGTTGCATTTTTTGTCACTGTTAAGAGTTGACCCTATATTCAGTCTCATTTCTCAAAAATTAAAGTCTTAGTTATGATGTTCTCAGCTTTGAAGTCATCACTGGTGTTTTAATCCAGCAAAATTTGCCATGCCCAAGGATATAGCTCAGTTACTCCACAAATCTCCAGGGAGTCCCAGTAAATACTTCTGGAGAAAGTTTGGGGTGCTCCTGGTTCCTCATTGTCCCCATTCATTCCCCCATGGTTCACTTCTGCCAGACACGCTTTCTACAGGACTGGTGTAAAATACATAACCTCAGACTCCTTGTTTCCCATTTCTCTTTTGGTCATTGTTGCTGTTTTTATAGTGTCCAGACTGGTGACCATTTCCAAGGATCCATATGAAGCATGCGATGGTGCTCATGCCCTTGTTATTTGCACTGAATGGGACATGTTTAAGGTGAGGGCGCATTACAAAAATTCTAGAGGCATTCCAGTGTCACTGTGGGTTAAATGTGTGTCACATGTATGTTCTAGTTATTCATTTGGTATGTCTTCACAGGAATTGGATTATGAACGGATTCACAAAAAAATGCTGAAGCCAGCCTTTATCTTTGATGGACGACGGGTCCTGGATGGGCTCCACAGTGAACTGCAGACCATTGGCTTCCAGGTAGTCAGCATTCTGGACTGGCTTCTTTGTTTGATCTTGTCACTATTACTTTATTAGTGTGTGTGTGTGTCGTGCACGCACAATTTGGGGTCAGGGCATGTTTGAGGTCAGAGGACAACCCTAGAGTCGGTTCCCTCCTCCCTCTTTATATCAGTCCCGTAGGGCTTCTGGCTTGTGCAGCTAGTACCTTTATCTTAATGGGCTGGTCTGTTATAAACCCATCGTGTGGGTTTTAGAATTGTCATGTTTTCTAATTTAGCATAACTGAGCAAGAAGCCTTCTTTGGTTCAAGTTCCTATTGTTTGATGATCCTTCCACTCCTTCCCTGTTTGTGACAAAGTTGGTCTCCTTAGCAGCTAAGAGGGCATCAGGTGCTTGTCATATAGAAACAGCACGTGCCTCAGCTCCACTCATACCATAAGACACTACAGTTACATAGTGCATGCTTCACGTTTTTTCACAGCTGAACTTCATACCCAGTGAAGACTTGGATGGTGGGTGGGGTTTGATTGTGGGTGGCTTTGTTGTGGCAGCGACACTGTCATAGCAAGCATTCACACCTTTCACTCAATGCTGTCCCTGTATGATGAGAGATCTGAAGGGGGATTATGGGCTTCATGAGACTAGCCCTTTTGTCATTCAGGTTCAGGTTGTGGAGCTTGGTAGCTGACAGAACCTGCCCAGAGCAGTGCATTTGTATGTTCTTAGCCTTTCTGTAAAATACTAACAAGCTGTTAGTTACCTTCTACCTCCTCGAGCTGGGTGGGTGGAGTAGAGGCTCTGCACAGAGTAAAATAGGGAAAATTAAAATGGAGCTGCTGGAGGATTGACAGCATGGTGGCCCACTAAGCAGAGGGCTGTGCATCTCCTCAGCACCAGCGTGCAGGCACCAGCGCTAAGAAGGCCTTATCTACTTATCACAACCCTGCCTGTGGTTTCTTTAGTCTCCCACTCACTTGTTAAAGGACGATTTCTCTGTCATTTGTGAGTGAGACACCAACTTCAGCAAGATGTAGCTGACATTTATTTAAAATTATTTTAGGCAGTTGAGAGACAAGTGGATCCCTGAGTTCAAGGCCAGCCTGGTGTACATATTAAGTTCTAGGACAGCTAGAGAAAGCCTGTTGTAAAGAATCAAAAACCAAAACCAAAACTTCAAGTCTGGAGAGATGGCTTTATGGTTAAAAGCACCTTCTGCTCTTGCAGAGGACCCAGTCTAGTCTCCAGCACCCACATGGTGGCTCACAACCATCTGTATCCCCAGTTCCAGGGGATCTGATGTTGTCTTCTGGCCTCTAAGGCTAGCAGGCACACAACACATGGTGCCCCTACAGGCCAAACACTGCTATATATAAAATAAAAATAAGGAGACAGATGTAGGCAGATCTCTGGGTTCCAGGACAACCTGGTCTACAGAGCGGGCCTCAAAACAAAGTGGTTGTGTGGGGCTGGAGAGATGGCTCAGTAATTAAGAGCACTCACTACTCTCCACACAAAGTCCTGAGTTTGGGTCCCAGCACCCACATGGCAGCTCATAGCTGTCTGATGCCTTCTGGTATGCAGATGTACATTCAGACAAAAGTATCCATATACATAAAAATGAATCGGCTATGTCTTTACTTGACAACCGCAGGTGTGCTGGTCCAGCACTCCAGCACCTGGAGGCAGAAGCAGAAAGCCTGTTATAGGCCAGAGCTACTTAGAAACCCAAACAAAATCAAACCAGGAAAGTGAGGAGACACTTGATTCTAGAAAGACAAAACCAAAGGAGCCAAAGATCTCTCAGCAACTCGGACAACTAGAAAGTTTCTCCTCATCTCCCTTATCTCTCTACATTGTAGAACTCTTACATATGAATCATGTGCACTGTGATTAATAGTTCTCTCTTTTTTTTTTTTTTTTCCTTCCTCTTCAGATTGAAACAATTGGCAAAAAGTTGTCTTCCAAGAGAATCCCATACACTCCTGGTGAAATTCCAAAGTTTAGTCTTCAGGATCCGCCTAACAAGAAACCCAAAGTCTAGATATTTCCATTTTACCTGTGATTGTTTTGGTACTTCAGGGTAGCCAGTGTCTGTCTGATATTAAATGGTAAATGAACTACATGTTTTTAAGGAAACAAAAATATTTTTTTAATCATCAAATTTATACTTGCTGTATGGGTGTTAGCATATCTAGGAATTAGGAATTATGAATCTAGAATAATTTTTACATATTTTTATATTATTGTCCTCTCAGTTATTGAATGGATGCAAAACGATCATGTTGATTTAAATGTCAATTTTTGTAAAATAAAGATGAAACTTTGAACACTTTTTAGCATTATGAATTGTCCACAGACTGCACTTTAATAAGAATATAAGGAAAAGGCAGTCTCGTTTTCCTGGGTGTTGATTCGTTTGCTTCTAAATGGGATTTTGAAGCCATGAAATCACTGTGCTACTATGTATGTTCTTTTATTTCAGTGACATGTCATTAGTGGTTTTGGTGTTTTGTTTTCCTCAAAAGGTCACTCTGCATTTCTTCCCTGCTTAACATGAATAGTACTTTCTTTTTTGAAAGAATTTAACCTGAGGAAAAAAAATCAGTAGTTTGGTCTGTGTTATTTCATCACTTTCGCCACTGATTGTTACTTTTACTGCCTGAGTGAAAAAGTGTTTGTTACCTTTATTTTGATTATTTCTATTACACTTCTAATTTTTTCCTTTAAGCAAGAAAACCAATAAAATCTCATGTGTAAACTCGAAGATTTTTCCAATTTACATATATATATTTTTATGTGCATTTATTTGGAAGGGATATCAAGTATGTACATGCAAACCATTTATGCAGAGTCAGAGGATAACTGACTTATACTGGTTGGTTCTCTCTGTCCATGGGGGTCCTGGGCTTCAAACTCAGATGGCCAGCTTCACCAGCAAGCATTTTCACCCACTCAGCCATCTCAGCATTTAAAAAAATACTTATTACATTTGTTCTCTCTCTTCCTCTCTCTCTCTCTCTCTCTCTCTCTCTCTCTCTCTCTCTCTCTCTGTGTGTGTGTGTGTATAGAACATAAGAAACTCTGGGTACCTGTTTTGTCCTTCCACAGTGTGGGGCCTGGGGGTTGAGCATGATCAGGTTTAGTGTTAGGTACCTTCACTCCCTGAGCCATCTTGCTAGCCCAGCATACATCTTAAAAAAAAAAAAAAAAAAAAAATCCCCCTTTTATGTGTATGAGTGTTTTCCGGCATATGTGTATATGTAGTGTGTGCCTGGTGCCAAGGGAGGGCAATAGAAACTTTATCAGCTCCCTTGGAACTGGAGTTATGGATAGCTGTGGGCCATCATGTGTGCTGGGAACTGAACCCAGGTCCTCTCCAAGAAGAGCTTGTGCTTTAATGGCAGTGGTTGTTTGCATGTGGATTGATGATGTCATGTTTCCACTTTATGCTGTGTACACTGAGAACATACAAACTTTGCTAAACAGTTACATGTCCTATCCTTTAGGACTTCTGTGATTGAGTATAAATGGGAAGTTGAAGCTGTCAGAGCCCCTGGAACTACAGTTGTGGCCAGCTGTGTGAGCCATGGTGTGGGTGCTGGGAACTGAGGCATGTGCTTTTAACCACTGAGCCACCTCTCCAGCCCCTACAGTTACATTTTAAATACTTACAGAACTTATACACAATAGCCTCAATCTTGCCTCTTGGCCTATGAAGCATAAAACTATCTGCTATTTGACCTTTCAGAAAAGTGTAGACATCTGAACTCATGTTGGCTTGAGGATTAGCCCTTCTGAGGAGTTTATGGATTAGAGTTTGCTCCGTACCTGCTTGTCAGTAGGATTATAAATCCAAAGATGTCTTGCTAAAGCAGTTAAAATTAGGTACTCCTACACTGGGCAGTGGTAGCACACACATTTAATCCCAGCACTTGGGAGGCAGAGGCAAGCAGATGGAGGCCAGCCTGGATTACACAGCAAGTTCCAGAACAGCAGGGCTACGCAAAGAAACCTTATCATACAAAACAAAAACAAAAAAGTTAGGCACTCCTTTTTAATTGCAGGAAGCTTCTATGCCTAGAGTGGAAAAGTAAATTTCATTTGTGGAACACAGTTATAGTTTGAAAGGTAGAAAAATTGGAAGTGGAAAAAAAATAGGCCAAAGATAGGAAGCCTTGGAAATTTTCTCTTTGTGATAGGGAAAAAATATGTGATTCACATATACATTTGTATATATAAATCTGTAAGGGCATAGTAATTTGAGACCCTTTTGTCCTCTACGGTGTGTATTAAAGACCACAGTTTTAAAAAAGAAAGTATGAGGCCAGTAGGATTACCAAGTGGGTAACAGACACTTGCCACCAAGTCTGACCTGAGTTTGATTTCTGGGAACCACATGGTAGAAGGAGAACCAGCTCTGTCAAGTTGTCCTTGCTACATAAGTCTGACTGAGTTTGATCCCTGGAACTGAAATTGTCCTCTGACCCCACTTGCACTCTGGCATGTGTTTATCCAGACACACGTCATAGGCATACAATAATAATAGTAAGTGTTAAGCCAAGCACGGTGAAAGACTTGGAGAATGGAAGCAGATGGATCAGGAGTTCAAGGATAGCCTTGGCTATATAATGAATCTAAGAGAAGCCTGGGCTACATAAGATCCTGTTTCAAAACACCGAACAAAGGGTGCTGGAGAGATGTCCCAGTGGTTAAGAGCACTTGCTGTTCTTCCAGAGGACAAAGTTTAGTCCATAACACGCATATCAGACAGTTCACAAACGCCTATAACTCCAGCTTCAAGGGATCTGACACCCTTTGGCCTACAGTCATACCCCCTACAGACATACATGAACACAGATATACACACATACACAAAAATAATTCTTAATAAAATTGTACTAGTGTACAATGTCAGTTTTGGGTGTTCAAGACGACAGGATCCAACTACAAGCCTGCCTGATTTGAGAATGAGTTCAAGACCAGCTGAAGACTAGTCATGGTGGCAAATGCTTTAATCCCAGCACACAGAAGGCTGAAGCAGAGGAATCTAGGTTTTTGTTTGTTGTCTTTTTTAAATAGCCCTAGCTGTACAGGAGCTCACTATGTATACAGACTGGCTTTGAACTCAGGAGATCTACCTACCTCTACCTCCAAGTTCAGAGATTAAGGGCACATGCCATCACACCCAGTTGATCTCTGTGTTTAAGGCCAGTTTGTCTCAAAATAAAATAATAATTAAAAAAAAAAAAAAATAGTCCTAGCACTTTCGAGGCAGAGTCAGGAAGCTCTGACTACTGTGTGGTGATCACTTAATTTTTAATAGCTTTCTTGAACCACTAAATCATCTCTGACACCCACTTCCTGTTTGGTGGAGTAAAAACCCATGGTTGATAGAACCTGTTTGAAGAGATTTTCTTACCTGATGCTGAAAATACCCTAAAAGTAGAAGTAGACTGTTACTAGGAAGAGTGGGTACCAGTGGCATGATCAGGCAGAATCACAGAATGATACTGATAGTAATAACCTGAGAAATTCCTTTCCAAAACAATAAAGCTCAACTTTACCTTTTGACTCAGAATCCTGTCTTTTTGTTTATTTTGTGTCTCACAAAGGAAATTTTATATGGCTATATTGTAAAACATGTAATGTGGATAATCGATTCTATGTACCATTTTTAAATAAATCAATAGTTATTATAAAGGTTATTAGCTGGGTGTTCGTGAACTACTGGGCAGCTGGTGTTGTAGGCCTGCAATCACAGCACTTAGGAGGTGCAGTCATGACCTTAGGAGTTTGAGATCATTGTCTAATACACAGCTGGTTTGAGACTACATGAGACCCAGTCTCAACAAACAACAAAAATCATGTGCTGCCACATCCAGTTTGGAGGTACAGCCTTTGACCCAGGCTGGCCTTCAGATCGAAGCAATCTTCCACCCAAGTGCCGAGGTTCCAGGTGTGCACCACCATGTCTCATCCTGTGCACACATTTATGTTCTTCCCTGGTAAGGAGCCGCTACAATTAAGGACAGCAAGGGCTGTGGATAAGGGAATCATAGTTCATTAAAACAAACAGAGTAGGAAGGAGCCACTGGTGATCAAGAGATTTCTGGACAGCACGAAGTGTGGATGTGTAATGGCTGAAGAGGAAGTGCCCACCAGGACCACGGAGGCTCTCCCCCAAAGAAGGGAGGGGGCACTATCTGGAGGATGAGCTGTAGGTCTACCTTGAACAACCTCTAATCTTCTCCATTCCTAGACTCCACAGAATGGGAGGCAGCCTGGCATTTATACTTAGGCCATCGTCTTAGCCCAAGGGTTCAAAGAACAGGCAGGGTAGGAAATGAAGTGGCAAGGAGACAACTAGAGCAATGGACACATCCCTCCTAATTTCATATTTTTTCTCTTTTAATATTCACCAAGTATAGGCCCAGTGTAGTGGTTCTTGCCTTTAATCCCAGCATTTCGGAGAAGCAGGCTGATCTCTGTGAGTTCAAGGTCAGCATGGTCTATGAGGTAAGTTCCAGGACAGCCAAGGAAACCACACAAACACAAAATCACACAGTTAAGTTTGGCTTCCCATATCCTCATGGGTGTGGAGTCATCCCCTAGGGCAGTGGTTCTCAATCTGTGGCTCGAGCTCTCCTTAGGAGTTATATATCAGATATCCTGCATATCAGATCCTTACATTCTGGTTCATAAAAGTAGCAGAATTGGTTATAAAATCACAATGGAATAAATTTATGCTTGGGGCCACCACAGCATGAGGAACTGTATTAAAGGGTCACAGCATTAAGAAAAGTGGAGAACCACTGTTCGAGAGCATTGGTCAACCTATGGAGGCCATGCCCCTAAGAAAACTGACTCTCAGTCATGTCTGTGTGGGTGTCCACCCTCCTCCCCCAATTGCAGCTATTATCAACTGTCAGTAGCTCCTCAGCTACTGCACTAGTGGGACTTGAGAGCCCTTCCCTGCTCCATGCTGTAATGCTGACTGACGGGACCCTGCTTGTACAGGTCTTTTAAAGAGATGTAGTATCTATCATGTGTCACTGAATCCATATGTGTGTAGGTTCATGTGTTCCTCTAACTCCAGTTCAGAAGACGTCCTCCACAGGCATGTGTACTACACACATACACTCTTGAGTGCGCGTAAAAATAAAAAAAAGAAATGTCATAATAATACATAGATCTTCTAAATGTTGTTAATATTCTTTTAAATTACAACGGTAATAGCAAACTGTTCAAAGATATTCTAGGATTACATCATCACAATGACAAGGACAAAGTGGCAAGAAGTTAAATTAAGTATGTATAGCTTACAGGCTTTTTTCTTTTCTCCTCTTCTTCTATATTTTTTAAGTAGAGATAGGGTCTTTCTCAGGTAGTTCAGGATGATCTGAGTGGAATTACAGCTATATGACGGATCAGACATCAGATATTTCAGACACAACAGCACTGCTCATGCACAGGAACCTGAAAGTCTGGCACCAACCTGATACCAACTAGAAGCAAAATCTTAAACTTCCTGTGATCCTGAAGGTGTTGGCTAAGTTTCAGAAGCTTTTGTTTTTCTTTTAGCCACTAGACTTTTCAGGAAAAATTCACCTATTTGGGAAAAATAAGACTACATTACTATCACCCTGAAGTAACAAGTTGCTATTTCAGAATCCCACCCCTCACACACAAAGAAGGATTCTAATCATTGGCATTTCCCTGCTCTCAAATCTCAAAGGCAGTATTTTTATCACCTAAATATTCCATATCTTTTGAATTTTCCCCTAGTTTTGATTTCATTATTTTATTATATCTTTTGAGATTATAACACTTTACCACATCTCCCCTTCCCTTTCCTCTCTCCATGACAGTACAGACCTACTCAGGAACCAAAAAGAATTGCTCTCAACTATTACTCCTCCCAATACCCCAGTGGTATGCAAGACAGCCCTCTGAGCCTGTGGTATGCTTCTGCATGTTCACCTCACCATGAGGGCTGATTACTCCTCATTGCTACAAAGTGCCACCGACGGCACTGTCATTTCAGAGAGCAGCCTGTCCATCATTAGCCTGGATCTGACGTTTATAAAGAAGACCTCATGCAGCAAGCATCTGATGGAATCTGTCATTCACTCATTCCCCTCCAGGAAAGCCAGAGCTCTCATCTGTCATGAGTCACCCTATGCTACACATTCTCTTTCAGTCCTGCTGCGGGGAAGCACAAGAGGACAAAGCACTAGATGCTTGAGTTTATGAGGAGTCAGGTCAGCTCCTCTGTCATCTTACAGGTACACTCAGAACACAACCACTACATCCAAACCAAATCACCAAGGATCCCAAGCTTCTTGTCTGTACTGCTCAATCTTCACCTAAATCTGGCACACAGAACCAACATCACCAGGCTGAAATCTGTGATCAGAGTCCAATACTCAACACACAGAATTCAATCTTTAAAAACACTTAGACTCATAAAAACTCTTAGATTCATAATTCACTTCCTTACGAAAATTAGAAGACTCACTTTTAAGTATTACTTAATGCTGGCCATGGTTGTTCACACCTTCAGCCCCAGCACTTGAAGGCACAGGCAGGTCTGATCTACATAGTGAGTTCCAGGTCAGCAAGGACTATATAGTGAGACCCTGTCTCAAAAATTAAAAAATAAATACTGAAAGCCACCTGTGGAATAGCTGACCATGCAAATTACTTCTGTTCTTGCCAAATGGCTGCAGTACCAAGAGCAGCAAGCGGTGTGCACAAGAAACAAATGAGACTCAAGAGCAGACTCTTTATATGACCCTCAGAGCAAAGCTGGGAGAGGCAGACATTCGAGGAAAAGAGAATCTCTTTTTACTCCCCTGACAAATGAAAACCACAGGTATTGTAATTTGTTTTAGTGCTTTGGTGGTTTGGGGTGGGACACAGCTGTGGGAAATTAATGGCGTAAAAAGAACCTGCCCCCCAACAGTTGAACTTACCTGCTTTATACGAAGAACGAACCAAAGGGCCACTTGCAGTATAATGAAATCCAAGCTCATTTCCTACTTTTTCCCAGTATTTGAACTTCTCAGGAGTAACATATTCTTCAACCTTGATGTAAATAATTTCTTCAGACCAGATTCCAGAATTCTAAGTAATTCTGATTCTATATAAAGTCTAAACCCATGGCTCATCATTTATCCAGCCCCCTCCCCCACTCCCCTAATCATTTGCATGTTATTGAACTCTATCAGGGCATAACCACAGAGGACTTAGAAAGGAGGGAACATCACTCTGTACTACATTAGCTGTTCCAAAGGGGAAAGAAAATGAGAGTAGAGTATTTGTTTTTCTTTCATTGCTTCAGTAGAAGCAAGAATTGGTCATGCCTATAAGATTCTGTGTGTGGTCAGGCGTTGGTGGCCCACGCCTTTAATCCCAGCACTCGGGAGGCAGAGAAGGATCATTGTGAGTTTGAGGCCAGACTGGTCTACAGAACTAGTTCCAGGACAGCCTCCAAACCAAACCCTGTCTCGGAAAACCAAAAAAAGATTCTGTGTTCTGTATGTGTGCACTTCCATTCTGTGGGCACTCATGCACATGCATATAGGCCAGAGACAGACAACCTTGAAATCATTCCTTAGGCATTTTCCACCTTCTTTTGCTACAGGATCCCTCAGTGGCCTGTAATTCTTAAGTAAATCATGCTGGCTGGCCAAGGCGTCTGTTTTTGTCTCCCCTGTGCTGGGATTATAAGCATACTCCATGTCTGGCTAAAAGAAAACATGGGTTCTGGGACTTGAGCTCAGTCTATAAGTACTTTAATGTCATTCCAAGTCCACTTGTGAGATGCCTGAGGGACAAGACTAACTTGTATCTCATATTTAGTGTTGCACCTGGCACATGTTTTTTGTCTGTCTGTTTGGTTGGCAACAGTGGCAGTTGAACTTAGCACTTCACACATGCTAGGCATGTGTGCTACCACTGAGTGCTCTACCACTGGGAAACAGCCCACACATGCTATGGGCACATGATATTGCTCAACACATTTTCTTGAGTAAATAAACACTATCATAGAAACAAAAATCTGCCTTCCTTTGCTTACTTCAGCTTTGTCTTTCCGACATGTCTAACAAAGTCACAAGACCACCAAGTATCAATTATACAATCTCCCAGCCTTTAGCTTCTTCTGTGTGTTTACTTGACTTGAACAACTGGGTATCAATAAGTATGTACCAGGGACACTGCTTTATGTGGGCAAGAAGATCTCAGAAATGTATGTATACACACATATACACAGGACATTATAACTAAAAAATTAGCCATTTCTTATTTTTACCTGTGGACAATGAAGATTTTACTTCAAATTACTAAGAAAATATTTGGCAACTCAAGACACTTGTACCTTAAGGTGGCGTTTTGTTGGCTGCATATACTGTCCTAGAGTTAAACAGTCCACATCAGCTGCACGGAGCACTGCAAAGGAAAGCAAGGATTCCACTAGCGGGTGTTTCAGTGACAATTAAAGATCTAAGTACAGGTCCTATAAGAAGTACTTCCATACTGTGTGCTGTAACTGTCTCACAGGCAACAAGAGACAGGAGAAAACCCATTCATTCATTCAAAAACACTATGAGCTATAGATTCTGATGCAAAATGGTAACAGGAGTAAGTGATTACCACAGCAGTGTGAAACTGGGAGATAGAAAGAAAAATACAAGGCTAGATGTGGAGGTGCAGGCCTAGGTATAAAAGGTGAAGGGAGGTGGCCCCATCTTTCTCAGCCATGATCATGCATGGCTGTATTTTAATCCTTTTCTTCAGTGTATCTCTATTAATCCCCATACTCAAGTCTAGGTTAAAATCTGTTTTTTGTTTGTTTGTTTTTTCTTTTTAGTGGCTTAAGAGATAACCACAGGTGCTGGGAACTGAACTCTTACATCTTATATCTTTGGTTGTGAGCCTAGCCTTTAACAGCTGAGCCATCCCTCCAGCCCTAAAATCTTTTCTTAATAAATTCTAACTCTGCAGCTGGCCCTTTGACCCCAGCATTTGAGAGGCAGAGGCATGGGGATCTCTGTGAGTTCGAGGTCAGCCTGGTCTACAGAGCTAGTTCCAGGGCAGGCTCCAAAGCTACAAAGAAACCCTGTCTCAAAAAACCAAAAAAAAAAAAAAAAAAAAAAAAAGGTGATGGAACAACTATGCTAGGTAAACATATTCATATGAGCCAAACATGCTGTCCTAGGCTTTTCCTTGGTGAGCAGGGTGCATCCTCAGAGTGTGACTTGGCCTGTGGCATATCAATCTTTCTTTTTCAGTTGTATTTGGTAGGCAAGTGCTCTACTACTAAGCTAAAGCCACAGCCTTCAGAATCTTATCCACTAGAGCCTGGTACCTAACTGGCTCTCAAAACCATCTAATGACAGAAGGAAATCCCATTCTCATTGGAATAGGCAAGGACAAGGAGGACTAAAAATCCCTATCTCCAGCACCTTGCACACCTCCATGATGATCAAAGAGAGTGTCCTTCCCTTCACATGTTGCTATTTGCAACATGTCCTTTCTGTGTTCTGGACACAGAAGGTGGAACACTCCCACTGGCCTACACCTGCAGCTCTGGGTACTTTGTTCTCACTGTCATCTGCATTTAAGACTACGGAGGAAGCAAACATTTAACAGGCTCTTTAAAATGGAGTTCCTGCTACCACTGATGGTAAATGGAAAGGGGTTCCTGGTTTTCAGCTCTTTACCTTTCATTGTTGCGTGCACTTGCTCATCTGTTTCACCCAGGCCAAGCATTATTGATGTTTTAGTAACCATATCAGGCTGAACTTTCTTGACATGTTTCAATACACGAAGAGATTGGTCAAAGTTGGCCCGAGGATCACGAACTTTCCTGGAAAACAGGGAAGCTCTCAGTGAAGAAACAAGTTCAACCAGAAAGCATAGTCTAGAACAGTGTTCTCAACCTTTCACAGGGCTTGCCTGAGAACACTGGAAAACACAGATATTTACAATTCATGACAGTAGGGTCAGGTGTTGGTGGCTCACACCTTTAATCCCAGCACTTGGGGAGCAGAGGCAGGCAGATTTTTGTGAGTTCGAGGCAGCCTGGTCTACAAAGGTACACAGAGAAATCCTATCTCAAAAAAAAAAAAAAAAAGCAACAACAACAAACAAAATAAGAGACTTCAAAAACAATTCATGACAGAATGGCTGTGAAGTAGCAACAAAAATAATTTTATAGTGGGGTCACCACAACATGAGGAACTGTATTAGAGTCACAGCATTAGGAAGGAGAAACACTGACCCACAGTTAGTGAGCATATGTGTCAATGGTACATATGTGCACATAGGTAATTAATGTAGGAAAGAAAATGAGGCCTCACGGGGCTTCCTACATTTGTCAGCTTTTCAGGCCTCTCAGTCTGGGACGGAAAAAAACCAGACTGGAAGTCACTTGGTTTATACACTGAAATATTAGAATTCTGAAGCTCAAAATTGTAATGACTTCTAGTGAGAAAACAAACTAGACAGAAGACAGACAAACACCACTCTGAACGCACATTTCTGGGGTTGAAACTTTGATGTGCATTTCTTTCCTGCAGGTTGGACTGCCCTCTGCTGACAGGCAATAACTCTGCAGGCTCGGAAGAAAAGCATTCTGGAATTTTCACTAGAAAGGATGTTTCTGAAGTGAAACCAGAGAGACTGGCTCCCACTGCTGGCGATATCACCACAGGCTGGGTGGCTACTCTTCAACAATGGCCAAACACCATGGCTTAAATGAGAAGAAAGGCAAAGGGCTAATGGAATTTAGCTGAATTCTAATGCAGCCTGTCTTCTGTATTTTTGTTTTGTTTTGTTTTGTTTTAATTTAAATAAGAAGCAGGAAGCAGGGAGTCGAAGAGATGGCTCAGCAGTTAAGAGAACTGGCAGCTATTTCAGAGGTCTCAGGTTCAATTTCCACTACCCACAAGGGGCTAACAACTGTGTAACTCTAGTTGCAGGAGACTCTGAAACCCTCTTCTGGCCTCTGGCCTTCCAGGGGACTGCACAAACACAGTACACAGACAATACCCCCATATGAAAGGAAAAACCAAACAAAACAAAAAACAGTAAGTTGTCCTCTGACTTGTACATGAGTGTTTGTGTGTGTACACACACACACACTGTAAGGTTTGGGTTTTTTTTTTTTTTTGTTTGTTTGTTTTGTTTTGTTTTTCGAGATGATTTTCTCTGTGTAGCTGTCCTGGAAAACTATAAACTAGGTTGGCTTTGAACACAGAGATCTGCCTATATCTGCCTCTCAAGTGCGAGATTAAAAGTGTATACCACCATTGCCCAGTCCACAACGTAAGTTTTAAAAGAGCAATTTTTTTAAAACCTCCATGAAACTGACAATATAGAAAGCTAACACTTGCCAGGCGTTGATAGTGCTCTCCTTTAGTCCCAGTACTCCAGAGGCAGAGGCAGGCAGATCTCTGTGAGTTTGAGACCAGCCTGGTCTATAAGAGCTAGGACAGCCTCCAAAGCCACAGAGAACCCCTGTCTCAAAAAAAAAAAAAAAAAAAAAAAAAAAAAAGAAAGAAAGAAAGAGAAAAGAAAGAAAGAAAGTTAACACTCATGGAGAAAGGACAGAATGAAAAGAGCAAGAGAGGAAGAAAATGAAGCGGAAGGGAAAGGAAGGTACTGCCTTGGCATAAGCCCCCTGCCAAGTGAGACTCGGAAGCATGATGTGACCCACAAACACACAATCACCTCTGTAATTCTGGAACCGTTTCTACATTATGTGCATACACATCTAATCCTGACAGAGCAACCTTTTCTACTGCTCTCAGATCTCCTCGGAAGTCAGGGGTGAGGCATTCCACAAGGATTTTTGGATTCCTAGGAGGAAAAAAGATAAACATTGAACTGAAGAAAAGAACTGACATGACTGCTGCCTAAACAGCGGGTCACAGTGACCAGGGAGTGCGTCAGCAGCGGGAACCTTACTGAGGAAGGCCTCCACACAGAACAGTCCTCTGTGTATGAAAAGCCTTGGAACGGTACACTGTGTGTGCATAATGGCCACGATGTCTGCCTGCAACAGCAATCAGTAGATTCTGACTTAAACCTAACGGAGTAGGCGACTAAAAACTAACATCATTTAAAGAAACCAAAAAGTATAAGGCATGAGTATTATTATTATTATTATTTTGCTGTTTGGAAAACAAAGTGAGGCATTTCCTCTGGGAATACAAATGTCATCTGCTTCAACTTTGATTTTGTAATAAATCAAAGCACTACCCTCCTCACCTCCTCTAGGCAAATATCTTACCAGCTATGAGCTTTAAAAACTGTTTCTAGGTTTGCTGAGTCATGAGGTTTTGTTTTTAAATGAAGTACCAAACAAACATTAGTCTTCCTGTTAATACCATGGCTGTGTCTATCTAGTGAAGCCCTGTAATGTAAACTAGGTCACAAAGCTGTTTGCAAACCCTAAGGCAGCATGAAGCTACTCCCTGAGGAGAGATAGAAGACCACACTTGTTCCCTTGTGAACAGATGCTGAAAGACCTTAGTGTGTAACTCTGAAACTGACTCTTCAAAAATTGCACCTGAGATTCATTAGAGCCTTGTGAAAGAAATTTAGTGAGCTGCACTTCTGTTTGAACTGTTAACAAACAGGAAAACTGGGAAATCAATGGAAAAACATTGAGTAGCATGACAGACATTACACCAGCACTGAGTTCCAGAAATAATGTAGCTCTTTTTGTTTTCAGAGCCAAGAGTCTCACTATGTAGACCTGGCTGGCCTGGAGTTCACTGTGTACACCAGGCTGGACTCAAAGAGATCTCTCCATCTCTGCTCTTGAACACTGGGATTAAAAGCATGTGCCACCAATTTGGTGAAGTTTGCTCCTTTTTAACCCTTTGGGAATGCATGGAATTAAAGCATTTTTGTAAAATGTAGATTATGAGAAAAATTGGCAGGACAGATGGGTATGAACAAAAACTGTATTGAGCTGTATTTTACAAGGTTGGTGCTTACCTCATCTTACTTTAGGTCATTTATCTTTTAAAAATCTATTTATTTTCACTTTATGTATGTTTTGCCTGTGTGTATGTATGTATATGCACTGTATGCCTAGTGCCCACAGGGGTCAGAAGTGGTGCTAGGTCCCCTGTGGAGTCAGGATGGTTGTCAGCCACCATGGGAGCTGAGAACTGAACCTGGGTCTTCTGCAAGAACAGTAAATGTTCTTAACTGCTCAATTTCATTTGTGTGTGAAGGGAGGGGGCAGGTATCAAATCTAAGGCCTTGAGCATGCTAGGCAAGTATTCCACCACACAACACAGCTGTATCCTCAACCACTACCCACTCTTAAATGGTAACTTATAAAAACCTCAGTGATGGGCTGGTTCTGGTGGCCCATCTTTAATCCCAGCATTTGGGAAACAGAGGCAGGTGTTTCTCTGTGGTTTCAAGGCCAGCCTGGTCTACATAGTGAGTTTCAGGACAGCAGGACTACATAGACTCTATCTCAAAAGAAAAAAAGATAAAGACCTCAAAATTGAATTTGCATGGATCTGAAAGGCCCTTAAATTACATAACAAATACCTTTCCTTCAAGCATGACACAGTCTTGGCAATGTGCTCAGCTCCCCCATCAGGCACATCTAGAAAGAAAAGAAGTTATTGCCCAATCTATGCCACAACTTAGCTACAGTCACAATGACACACTACTAACCATCTCGATCCACCGAAGTCAGGACAACATAATCCAGACCCCACTCTGCAATTGCTTTGGCTGTATTGTAGGGCTCATTGGCATCCAACAGAGGGGGATTTCTTGCAGTCTTAACGGAACAAAATCTGCAACCTCTTGTACAGGTGTCCCCCATCAACTAAAATAGAGACGTTACAATTTAAATCAGGTGACCCTCAAGAATACAATGCCAAAAACAAATGACAAAAATCGTCAACAGAATGATATATAAGGAATATGAAACATTCAAAATTAAATAATATATGGTTAAGGAATACAAATTTATGTGGAAAAGAAAATGATACACTCAGGAAGTGTTAAGGGAACTGGAGGGGGTGTGGGATCAGGAGGGAACATCTAATTTTATAATTTAAGGCATCATCGAATGGCTCACTTGCCAAGCAAGCATGGTGACCTGAGTTCGATTCCCAGACCCCCAGGTGGGAGAACAGACTCCACAAAGTTGTCCTTTGACTTCTAAACACACCTCCACATCCACACAATCACCATCACCATAATAATAATAAACAGTTTCAATTTAGCTGAGTGTGGTGGTGCATGCCTATAATCCCAGCACTTGAGAAGTTGAGGCAGGAAGATCAGCCTGGGTTCCACAGTGAGACTCAGTCTCAGAGTTTAAAAAGGGAGATGGCTGAGCGCTAAGAGGATCTGTTGTTCTTTCAGAGGATTCAAGTTCAGCTCCCAGCACCCGCACTGAGTGAACCAATGGCTCTCCCCTTCACATGCACTGCAGCCCACACACACACACACACACACACACACACACACACACACACTTAAGAATAACTGAGTATAAATAATAATTGTTAGTATTCAGGCACCTGTACTGGCCTGTCCTTGGGGATCTAACAGGATACACCCTCAGCTGCAGCCACTAAGAGCACCACCTGTGCACATTCACTACCTTCCCTTTTAAAAGGGCCCTGCCTACCTCCCGTCTTTCTCTCTCTCTCCCTCTCCCCTGCTGCTCTGAAACAATTAAATAAATAATAAAATAATGTGATCCTAATGTAGAGTCTGAGGAGAGGCTAAAGTTCTACTTTCTAACTGAGGTACCAGGATGTCTGTTTTATTTTTGTTGTTCTTTTTTTCTTTTTTTAAAGACAAGTTTTCTCTGTGTAGTCCTGGCTGTCCTGGAACTCAATGTGTAGACCAGGCTTAAAAATATATTCTTTAAAAAAAATTCTTTTTTAATGACATTTTTATTTCGTGTGTGTGTGTGTGTGTGTGTGTGTGTGTGTGTGTGTGTGTAAACACAAGAGGACAACTTGTAGGAGTTGTTTTTTTTTTCTGTCCACTACGTGGTTTGAACTCAGGTCACTGGGCTTAACAGCAGGAGATGCTGCCCACTAAGCCACCTGGCTGGGTCCACAGATATATTCAGTGGGAAGATGAATGTGCAGATCTGAGTAGAGTGAAATTGGAAATATAGCTCATTCTTGCTAAATAAGTGAGACAGGAAAAAGTATACAACAATTAAATAGTTATGAAGACTATTTCCAAACATTAATGCAACACATATCCTAGGGCACCAAATAATTATCAGATACATGGAAGAACAAATAATATATTAATTCAGAGAAGACTGAAACCATGACAAAATCAGACTTCGTCACTTTCTTTGTAATTTTCATAAGTTCATTTGCAATAAAAATTTCACTTAAGTTCACAATACACATCTTTAGGAGGAGGACATAAAATATCCCCATTCCATGCCTGAACTAAAGTTGTTGAGACTGAGCCAGGTGTTGGTGGCGCACAACTTTGGTCCCAGCACTGGGGAGGCAGAGGCAGGTAGATCTCTGTGAGTTCAAGGACAGCCTGGTCTACAGAGCTAGTTCCAGGACAGGCTCCACACAGAGAAATCCTGTCTCCAAAAAGAGAGAGAGAGAGAGAGAGAGAGAGAGAGAGAAAAGAAAATAAAAATCAAACAAACAAAAAACCCAAAACAATAACAATAACAAAAACCAGAGACTGAGCTGGCCTTACCATGATTGTGGCTGTGGCTGTGGCATACTCTCCACCTCCCCAACACTCCCCGATGTTGGGACATCGGGCTTCCTCACAGACCTGTGTAAAGGGGAAACAATGCAGCAGGTTGAAAAGACCCACCTACCAACAATGAAGTATTAGGTATTTTCAGTTTTGTTTTTTAAAGATTATTACTATTATAATTTGTATGTATTCATGTTTTGCCTACATGTTATGTCTCTGCACCACATGCATGCCTGGTGTCAAAAGAGTCCAGAAGACACTGTCAGGTCCCTGGAAGGTCCCTGGAGTTAGAGTAGATATGGTTGTGAGCTGCCATGTGGGTGCTAGGAATTGAACCTGACATGGGTCCTCTGGAAGAGTAAGGAGTCTATGTTCATACCCAGAGCCATCCCTCCAGCCCAGTGTTAGGTAGTTTAAACTGCCATTGTTTCCAATGTTTTTGAGAAGAAATATAGTCATTTATTACTTCTTTTGCAGGAAAATGTAAAGGGGAGCTGAGGATTAACTGCTTTCATACACACTAAACAAGCACTGGGTGATTCTCTCAGCCCCAAAATGTCTATGTACATTTTCTTTTTCTGCATTGAGACAGGGTTTCTCTACGTAACAGCCCGGACTGTCCTGGAACTTGCTCTGTAAACCAGGCTGTCCTTGAACTCACAGAGATCCACCTACCACTGCCTCCTGAGTGCTGAGATTAAAAGTGTGTACCACCACTGTCCCCTCTATGTACATTATTATTACCGTACCTAAAACTTCACTTTTCATCTTTCCCCACCTTCCTTGCTAATATTTATATACTCATTAATCATTTCTTTTTGCAGCACACGTCTTGTAATCCAAGCACCTAGAAAGCTAAGGAAAGAGAATCACAAGTTTGAGACCATTCAGGCCTATATAGTGAGCTGCAGGACAGCCTATGCTAAATAATGAAACTGTATCTCAAATTTTTATTATAAATATGGAGAAACGGCATAGTGTGGGGGTAAATGGAGAAGAAATACAATGGCTACTTACTGTGTGGAGATTTAAATTTCGCAATGTAGTTTTCAGTTTATTATAATTTTTACCCATGGGTATCTCTGTCTTTAACCATGGAGGCAGTCTTAACCTAGGGAAAGCCAAAAAGAACTGTCCATTACCAAACTTTGGAAGATACGAAGCTTAGCTCATACAGCCAGTACAGCCTTTTCCATATTCCTGAACTAACTCAATTCCATCACAAGAATAAAAACAGACTTAAACACAAGATGCTTTAGGAAACACTGATGATGGACCAGAAGGGGTGCTATGCTTATAGCTACCTTATGCAAAGGTGCATTGCTGTACTATTCTAATAGGAAGACAGATATGTCTTTGAGCGTGTCCTTCCCTATGAATGCTACCATACTAGGCATTCTCTTCTGGGCCAACAACCAGCTCCCAAATCATGACATGGAGCCTTACTATTATTTATAAATGCTCAGCCTTAGCTTAGCTCTTATTTTAATCTGTTTCTCTTTATCTATGTTTTGCTTTGGGGATTTCTACCTTTCTTTCCTTCTGTACGTCTTATTTTCACTGCTTCTCATGTCTGGCTGGTGGATGCCCACCTTCTGGCCCCAGGCATTGTCCCTCTCTTTCTCCCTTCTTCCTCTCTCCAGCCTATTATCTCTCCTCTTATTCTCTCTGCCTATCACTCCCACCTCTCCCAAGTAGCTATCATGCGCCTTAGACAGGCAAGAAGAAATAAATGTAACACATCTTAACATTGTTAACAAAGGCAGCAGAAACAGATGTAACACACCTTCACATAGTTAAAGTGATATTCTGCAGCATAAACAAATGAAAAACATCTTTGCCCACTTAAAATAATACTCCACAACATACTACAACTACAGTAACTCAGAATACAGAAAGAGCCCAATTATACAATATCTACCCTGCCTTCTAGACTCTAGTCATTAATAGAGACAACTTGCTAGTTGCAGTGATTCATGTCTGTAATGCTAGATTTTAAACCATGGAGATAGGAAGATAAGGAGAGTTCAAGGTCAAGTTTAGATACAAAGTGAGTTCAAGGCCAGCCCGGGCTATATAAATGAAACCAAAAAAATGACAAACTGAAAACAACAAAATGATAGATCTAAAATTTGGAATGGAGACTATATCCTTGGTTTCCCCTTGACTTTATTCACTTGTGATCTAGATGTTCTTTGATAGATACTTTTTAAAACAACCCTGTGCACCACCAACCTCACTACACTTCTATTAATATTTCTGTTTATTGTGGTATTAGAAATTGAACCTTGAGCCTTCTGCATGCCAGGCAACCTTTCATCGTTAAAAAATAATAAAGATAAAGCAACTGCAGGCTATATGTAAACTTTCTCAGAAAAGGAACAGGTGGCCCAGGCCTTTAATCCAGCACTTGGGAGGCAGAGGCAGGGGGATGTCTGAGTTTAAGGCCAGCCTAGTCTACAGAACAAATTCCAGAACATCTAGGGCTACACAGAGAAACCTTATTTTGAAAAACCAAAAATAAATCAATAATTGCCAAGAGGGAAACCTACACTTTTCCAATTAGGTGCTGGATATAAAGTGGGAGGTGGAATGGTCAGGTTGTTTCTGGAAGGATGAAGAAAAATGGCCAAAGGTTACAGAAAAAAAAAAAAAAAAAAAAAAAAAAGATTCTAACAGCTTTGCTCATTTATTCTACTTAGACTGGTTATCACTTCTAGTAACTTTGGATAAATTTAACATGTCTGAAATTTAAAATCTGCTATAGGGCTTGATTAAAAACAGTGCAGAAAATCAAAGGGTGGGATCCTGAAATGATCTCTAATATTCAATTACCTTTCTCCTTTCTGACGCTTTAAATTTCCTTTATATTCATCCCAGGTGCTCTTGTCTGCAAGATCACCAGATACAAAATCTTGAAGGTCTGGTCCAGTCTGTAAAAATTCCTTTTTTTTATCCGGCAAAGAACTTAATGCTCTAACCGGGCTGCATAAATATCTTCCAAATACCTACAGGAAAGGTTCATTATATCAATCATTCGGTAAACTCTGGATTAATTTAGTTTCAACCCATTATAATACCAAAGCCAAAGAACTGATTCAGAATGTAAAACGACTCTTTAAAAGATTGAAGGTTGCCGGGCGTTGGTGCGCACGCCTTTGATCCCAGCACTGGGTAGGCAGAGGCAGGTGGATGTCTGTGAGTTCGAGGCCAGCCTGGTCTACAGAGCGAGTTCCAGGACAAGCTCTAAAGCTACCAGAGAAACCCTGTCTCCAACAACATAACAAAATAAATAAATAAATAAATAAATAAAGATTCAAGGTGAAAGAACCACTAGCTATGGTGGCTCAAACCATTATCCAGCATTCACAGGAGGCAGAGGGAGAATTGTCTGGATTACAAATTTAGTTCTAGGCCAGCTACAGGGATCCTGATGCATCCCCTGCCCCAACGAAAGGGAGGTGGGGGAGTAGATTGTAAGGATTAACTGCTAAATGTAGATTAGAAAGCCTTAGGAACTAAGTTAGCGTGTCACGTTTTCATGTCTTTTTGTTTTTGTTTTCTGAGACAGGGTTTCTCTGTGTAGTCCTGGCTGTTCTTGAACTCGCTCTGTACACCAGGCTGGCCTCGAACTCAAGAGTTCCGCCTGCCTCTGCCTCCTGAGTGTTGGGATTAAAGGCGTGCGACACCACCGTCCCGCAAATCTTCTATTCTTAAAACAGGTACTAAAAATATGTTGTCAACAACTTTAAACTGCAATAATTAAGATATGCCACGGCTATGGATGTTTTATTTCCTGACGAGTCAGGGAGTTTAAAAAAGGATATCTGGAAAAATTTTTCCCAGTTTTGGACTTGTGATGAGCAACAACGTTCCTGCCTCTCCGCTCACCCAGGAGCCCAGGCTGCCCGCCGCAAGCCCGCAGCGTAGAGCCATGCCCCTCGGAGGTCTCAGGAGGGTCAAGGGCCCGACGAACCCGCACGCCGGAACAAGCCGCGGCCGAGCACCCGTCGCTTTGCTTATGACGCACACACGTCATTGCGGACCCGGCATGAATCGACCTGCTTGGCGATAGACTAGGTTAGCCTTATTGTCGCACGCTCATGACGCAACACGCAGGGCCCTGACGGATTACAAGAACGTGATGACGAAGGGCGTTCTCTCTTTGCCCCATCTACTGCGAGGTGAGCAGCTTACGGGCTACGTGCCCCGGGAATCTGAAGCCATCCTTTCTTGGGGACACCGGTGGCATGGACCCGTTGTCCCGAGTCCCTCTCCCGACTGTCCCCCAGCACGACAGGCGTCCCTTGGATTTGGCGGCGCGAGCTGGAAGTCGCGTTCTGGGCTTTGAGGCCTACCCTGGCCGCAGCACTCCCGCCATGGTGCACCGGGCCGGGCTTCCTGCCCTCCCTCCGTGCCCGGCTCGCACGCCCCCGGGCCACCCTTTGCCACGGACCCATTTGTGTCTTTCTCCCCGGGTTCTCTACCTGGCCGTTTCCGGTTGAGGAGGCGGAACTCTGACCCGCACCTGGTGAGGAGCGTTCCCTGCTCCATCCTTCTTACCTGGGTGTTTGTGTTTCAGAATGAAGACCATTCTCAGCAATCAGACCGTCGACATTCCAGAAAATGGTAGGAGACTTACTGCTTGGCCGTGACGTCTTTCTTGCATGCTCTGATCCTTGGCCTGTGGCCTCACGGGTTCGTTCTCTCTTCTAGTGGACATCACTCTGAAGGGGCGCACAGTCATTGTGAAGGGCCCCAGAGGAACCCTCCGGAGGGATTTCAATCACATCAACGTAGAGCTGAGTCTCCTTGGGAAGAAGAAGAAGAGGGTAAGGACCCCATTTCTTTGTGGTACCCGAGATGCTTGTTCGTAAGTGCATTTTAACAGCTTGAGGTTTGATCTCTCGGGTCCAGTGTGGGGCGCTGTATGCCTTTAATCACAGCCCTGGAAAAGAGGTGGGCAGATTCTCTGTGGACTCGGGCAACCTTAGTCCCAGGACAGATTTGTAAATTGAAATCTAATATTGTAAAGCCTGGTACTGATCTAGTGTTAATTCCCCCCCCCAAAAAAAAGAATATTACTTTTAAGTAGTTCGTGGGTAAACATTCTGTTCTCTCTTTTTTTTTTGGGAGGTGGTGGTGGGTCCATTCCTTTACAAAATCTGTGCCTATGACATACAATTTTTTGGTCATTTATAGAATGCTCTTGTGGTAACCAGCTAAAAACTTATTTCTGGCGTCTCCTGTTACAGCTCCGGGTTGACAAATGGTGGGGTAACAGAAAGGAACTGGCCACTGTCCGAACCATCTGCAGTCATGTTCAGAACATGATCAAGGGTGTCACACTGGTAAGCCAGCCAATCAGGCTGCTTTTTAGCACTTTGGAAGAGGTTTCTTAGATGTGTCTTGTGTATACAAATGTCTAGTACAGGGCAATTTTGTGTTTTGTTTGTGGGGGAGGGGCATACCATGCATCAAGCCTAGGAATTTGCTGGGCAAACCATGCTTCGAGAAAAAAAATTTTTTTCCTTAGTAGATAGTCTACTATAGTGTAAATTTGGTTGCTGGTTGGTATGTATAGAACTTCTGGATAGAAAAGGTCTGATTTCTAAATATATGTTGTCACTCTTAGTTGGGGATACTTTTTTTCTCCCATGATAAGGTTAATGCTGAAGAGGCTTGTTTGATAAACACACTCTACCCTGTGCATAACAAGTGTTATGTACCTGTTGGGTGGATCCTTGTTGATACCATAGCTTCCTTTTATTTACTTTGATATGAAATTATGGTCTGGTGTGTCTAGTAATACAGTAAATCTGGTGCCAAGGATGAGTGTCTTGGGCGCTCACTGAAAGAAGCCAGGCTGAGATAGTAAAACAAACAGATGCGTCCTGCAGGACTGTTACTGTCTGGAACGACAGTTGTTCCTTCTGAAGTGAATATTAACTGTGTGAGACTTGTTGCAGGTCACAGGTGGCAGGTAAAGTGTGGTGTTTTCAAATTACAACAAAAGCACCTCAGGGAATTTTAGAGCTGGCCCTGGTGGCACACAGCTGTGATCCTAGGGGAAGCTGAAGAAGGAATCTCAGATTGTAGGCCAGCCTGAACTGAAACTAATTCTGAGATTGTTCAATATTTATTTACTGCAGGGCTTCCGCTACAAGATGAGGTCTGTGTATGCTCACTTCCCCATCAACGTCGTTATTCAGGAGAATGGGTCTTTGGTTGAAATCCGAAATTTCTTGGGTGAAAAATACATCCGCAGGGTTCGGATGAGAACGGGTATGTGTGTTACCTCAGAAATGATAAGCTGCTATAGTTTTGTGTCCCGTCCGTTCCTCACCCCCCCCCCCCAGCCTCCGCCCCAGTCTTGGAGTGCTGGTGTTTTGGTGTTTGTGGTGAAGGATATTTCAGAACTGTGTTTTGGTAGCTGCTAGCTTGAGATTAATGCCATTATTCCTGAAGAGTAGTTTATAGGGTATAATTTTTGTGGGTGCTGGGAATTGAATCTTCACATGTAATTACAGTATGTTCAGAAGTAAATCCTACAGTTCATGAGTTCTGTGGAGTTTTAAATGAAGTATTTTTTGTGTAGCTCTCATGTTAATATTGAATACATACCTCTTTTAGGTGTTGCTTGTTCTGTCTCTCAAGCCCAGAAGGATGAATTAATCCTTGAAGGAAATGATATTGAACTTGTTTCAAATTCAGGTATGTATGCTTGTGTCTATTGGTCAAGTTTTATCTCAGCCTTAAGGTTGAATGCATGTCTGATTTGTTACAAAACTTCTGAGAGGTCAAAGATTGTTCCAACTCTATTCTGTATATACTATAGTTTGTGTCATGAATACATGGTGGTGTATATGCAGTTCTAAGTGATGGGTAGCATGTGGTAGGCTTTGTTGGGAACAATTTGCTTTTGTGTTTATATTAGGGTGGGTATGCAGTTACACTCAGTTGAGAACTGATGGTAATGAAGGGGTCTCTTTCCATCATGTTGGCTCCAGGGATTGAGCTCCAATTGTTAGTTAAGTTAGTCTTGTAGACAAATTTGGCTAGTGAAATAATGGCTTTATTTGTGTCGTCCTATATAGCGGCTCTGATTCAGCAAGCCACAACAGTTAAAAACAAAGATATCAGGAAGTTTTTGGATGGTATCTATGTGTCTGAAAAGGGAACTGTGCAGCAGGCTGATGAGTAAGACCTAAGGTAGGTTCGTGTATCTACAGTTGACTACTTTAGATGGAGTTTGTATGAAAAATTACTGAAATCAGTACTTGCCTCTAACCTATATCATAGGTGAATTTGTTTTACTCTACATAATTTATATAGATTATATATATTAAGTGAACTTAACTTTCTGGGCAGGAATATTGATGAAAGTTTACATGTATTTTGTTTGCTTTTACAGTTACCCAACTCCAGAAACAAGATCCTGAATTTAACTACGATTTGGCATGTCTTTTGGGACAATAAAAGACTTGTATTGATTTGGTGTGTCTTTGATCTTTCTAATTGATACTTAGCAGATAGGTCAACTGCTACTCAAGGAACACAACAGATGTTTTTCCTTCCTGTAAACAAGTGACTTAAAAGAATAACAACACATTTCAGGCAATAGGAGTATAGTACCAATGACAGACAATAGTCCTGGTGTGTGTTCAATGGACATGGCATTCTGGGCTAATCCTAGAGGTGTGTGACTAGATAAAAGTATAAATCATGGTGGTTTCTTTTTGTAAGTTCTCAGTATTGTCTTGGTTATAATTCTACCTTTGACTAGGTTGACGTGGGAGGATCAGGTTGAGGCTTGGTGTATTACAAATGGAACCTGGAATTTCTTTGAAATATTGGGGTTGGTAGGGTTGCAGGCTTTGAATATAATGTTCTAGACTTAATAGTAACCTGTATTGGTGTGAATTACTTCACCATCTACCTTTAGCTTCTTGGACAAGTTCCTCTATTATAATCTCAAACTCCTAATCCTCTTGCCTCTGCCTAGGATGACAGGAAAGCACTGCCACACCTAGCGTTTTATTCTTCATGTGTGCATTTGGTGTATTTGTCTGTTACCCTTTCACCTTGCGTTTGAGGCAGTATTTGTCTTCCCCAGTGCTAGGGTACAGACATTGCCCAATTGAACTAAGCTTGTGTGGTGTGTATTGTGTGAGAGAATATATTCACACCTGTCAAGAGGTGTCAGTTCCCCTGGAGCTGGAATCACAAAGGGGAGTGATTGTCATGTTACATGTAAGTGCTGCAAGAACAGTATTACATTTTTAAAAAGTCTGAAGTCCTGAGGATGTTAGGTGCATGGGGATAGAGTTAAAGGAGTCTGTATGTTCTTTGGCATGGGTTCAGGGTGGAGTCTTGGGTTCTAGGAATCAAATTCAGATCATCGGGTTTACACTGTTCTGTAGGCCCTAATCAGTTTTTATGAGATAGGGAACTATAGAGGGGCATGGCCTCAAAGTCAATTCACCGCTTCTCCATCCAAAGTGCTGGGATTAAAGGTGTTGACCATCATGTCTAATTATTAAAAAGGACTGGTTGTAGCTCAGCTGGCCGAGTGCTTTCCTTGTATTGAAAACCCAGCACTGCATGTAGATGTGGCATGTGCCTGTCTGTGGTCCTGACCTTACAGAGGTGGAAGCAGGGTGTCTCAGCCAGATTGTTCACAATAAATAGTTGGCATCAACCAAGTAAAACATTTAGACAAGGTACCTCAATTCCCAGAGGCTAGACAAACATGAGTTAAGCATATTTAAGGATTTCACAAAAGTTTTATTGAATGTTTAAAATGTGACATCTTTTTCTGCAGCTATTCAGGTGGGTTAAGAATGTAATCTATAAACTGGGAGTTGGTGAACACCTTTAGTCCCAGTCCTTGGGAGACAGGCAGGTGGATCTCTGAGCTTGAGGCCAGCCTGGTCTACAGAG